AACAGGAATGCACAATCAGCTGAATGTGTGTTACAGTTATGGGTATGCACATGCATTCTCATACAGAGACATATACACTGGATGGTCATGAATATCTCTATATATTAAGTAAGTCTGAAATTTAGAAAGCTGAAGGGAGATTATTTGTACGGGAGGTAAGAACACTGCAGAGGATATCCATGCTTATACTTCAAGATGCAAGCAAAACATCATGTCTGTTCCTGTTAACATATTATTGAAAGACACACAGACATGTTGTTGCAAAGAAGAAAATATTCTGCCTTTCAAAGACGTCAACAGAGTGGTTCTGTTTGGTCAGAAGGGTCGGTCACGCTGAAGGCGTGGAGGCAGGCGAGTTCCTTTTCGTCTCTTGTGGTCTGTCTTCTGCTCCAAACCTACTGGAAGGAAGTTTTAGCCTCGATTTAAAATATTGTTATATTTAATCTACTCCCTGACACAGCCTTAATGCTGGCAGCACTGAGTCTCCGCACGCTGACTCTTAACACTGAATTAGCTACTACAGGATTTTCAAGCTATGCTCTTGTGACTGGTGACTCAGAAGTCTTCTCAGGGAGGCTAAAGATTAAAATACTTTTTTCAATCTAAACAGCGGTGAGCAAGGAGCCGTGAAGGAAGGTACGCTGGGGAAGGAGCTAGCGCTGTATCTCAGCCCTCAGAAAGCAAACACAACAACTGCGCAGCGTTGTCAAAGCAGCTGGTTTGGTGGACACTGTTACCGCTAAAATGGTGCTGTTAAAGTACTGCAGTGCTAACGAGAGAGCTGCTAGGCCTAGGGATTTTGTCAGCATCGTCTGGCTCGTGCTCGCGGCTAGGGAGCTCCGAGGCCGGACTGGCGCAGTGAGCTGCTTTTCATCTTCTGCCCCTTCCTAACCTGAAATGCTGTTACTGCGCATTTCAGATAGTTGTCTGAACACCTCAGAGAGGCATCTGAGGTATTACCGAAACACCACTGTGTTTCGGTACACCACTTTGCGGCAGCGCGTGAAGCGTGCGCTTCTTTTTAAAACAAACGTCTAAATGACTTTGAGTTGAAAACTGACATTTGTAAGGAAACGGATTTGCAATGTGATTGAATTGCTTTATGTAATTAAAAAACAAAACACAACACAACAAAACACTACTGTTATGTGCCATAAATGACTCCTTTGTCTTCTACAGAATTTAATTTGTGTACATGCCTTGCAGCCGTACTGAGAGAGCAGAATAAATGTAACTTCTCTTTGGGTCTATGTGAAAAAAGAGGCAGGAAAGGGAGAATGTGAGTAGCCAGAGGGCTTTGAGGAGCAAGGGACGAGTGCTGAGATAAAAAGCAGCCCAAGGGAAGATTACAAGTTCTCAGAAAAACAGATCAATAATAATTTTTAACTATGCAGCTGCCAATACAGCTACTTGCCTTTTGAAAACATTTTTCCCCACTACTTCACTATTCCCAGTAGATCAGGAACACATTCAGCAACAAATAAATCACCTTTACTTTTCAGTATTTTAGTATTTCAATATACTGAATACTGAAAGACGGTATTTCAATGAAAAGTCCAGCTCCTTGGGAGACTGCTGCATTTTTCAGTGTAGGACTGCTAGAGCCACCAGCTTACCTTTCCCTCCTGTTGCTTGTTCAGTAGGATGCAAGGATCTAAGACTGCTCAAATTTACAAGCAGCTCAAGCAACTTTCGACTGATTATGTCTCCTCCCTTTTCCTTTTCACCTCCCTTGACCTTTCACCTTTTGGTTCCCTTGGGAAAACCATGACAAATTTCCACCTGGAAATCTCAGTCTCACGGTTAGGTAGTCTCTTTTTCTGTTGTTGACGGCCTTCCCTCTCCACCCTCTTGCCTCTTTACCACATTGAGTCGTTTGACAAGGTCACACAATCTCTCTTTGTTTCTATATTTATATCGGGGAAGCTCCCTCTAGTAGCATGATGGCATTTCAGACAGTACATCTTAACAAGAACAGTAGATAAGAAAGTTCTCGGTACAGAGACCTGCCCTGATAAAATAAAACATATTTAAAAAATGAAAACAGCCAGAGTGTTCATACCAAATAAGCATCAGATAGCTACCTGAGGATTTCTGACGGCAGAATAAATACTATTTGTTGTCATTACAGAACAAAAGCTGTCCTAGACAGTGCTCTGTACATTAGCTTGCCAGCTTATTGAAACGGAAAGACATAGTGGCTTTGATGTATATTTTATACTCAGAACTGCAGTGCAGTAGCGAAGGATAGCACCAAAAACAAGACATAAAGGGCAAATACAACGAATGAGAGATGACTGAGTCAAAGGAGGTCAGTAAACATTAACTGGAAGAAACAAACTCAAGGGCCAGTGAAAGTGGACCTGTCTAGCTGAATACATCATCTACAACACGTAGAGAAGAGAAGCAAAAGGTAGGGATACAGAAATATGAAACACGAGGGCTGATATCAGATACAAGGAATATGGCGATCAAGAGTATCAAAAGAAAGTCAACAAGGAAGGCCTGAAAAAGAAGGAAGTGCAGGAAAGCAAATATGAAAATAAAAAATGATGGACAACAAAAATGCATATTAAATATTTGAAGGCAAGCACAAAAAATACTAATGGAAACCTGTCTGGAAAAGGAGAAAAGTATGAGCACCAGTGGGAGAAATGGAGACAGAATGGTAACAGCAATGATAGTGACAGAAAGATGAAAAACTAAAATAATCAATGGCTTTTCTGGGCTCAATCCAGAATGTTGACCGCTCTGTGCAAGAACCAGTGTTTGCTTAGGAAATGATAATGCTAACGGTGTGACCCTGACCCAAGGGAGATTGGTATCAATGTGAATTACAGCTACACAAAGGCTCTGGGGGAGCGTGGGGCTTTAAACTTCAGTTCTTTCTACTCTTAGTTACGTTTGCATTCCGCATATTATCTTATCTGGAAAAAATGAAATTACTTTCAGGTCAAGCGTCCAGATATGGTTTTGGCTTGAAAATATTACAAATCATCTGATAAAGCAGCCATACAAAAATTAGACGCTAGCTACAGGAAACGTTAGCTTATGAGTCCATCACCTCCAATCCACTCCTCTTTCTGTGAAACTGTACCTCCTTCACCCGCAAATTTTGAGCTTGTACTTATTTCCATGGCATCCCAGAATTTGTAAGTGTAAGTGGTGACTGTGTGAGCAGTCTGGGTATCCCAATTTCATGTAGTTTCACATAGTTTCTTTTCATGGAAAACTCTTAGAGGATTTTTACAAGTTGGTTTTGAAAAATCTTGTCTTTCCTAGGCTTTTTCAGAAGACCATTGGGAAACGTCGTTAATCAGACTGTAAGATATAACTTACAGTGGTCTGGGGCTGCTTCAAGCTACCTCCATGACAGCGGTTGTCTAGGGGCTTCCCTGCCACCTATGACACCATAAGGCATGGGGTCTTCCCAGCCATATTTTAGCTGGGGTCTAACCCACCTCTAATCCTTCTGTGTATGTAATCTATAACCTGTAATCCTAAAACCAATAACCCATCTGTCAAGGGATTTAATGCTGAGTGATGGAGTCAGCTGTGCAAGCTTGGCTTCTTTCTCACAGACCTTTCTCAGAGAGTCTCTTGCCACGGAGACCCGTGGGGCAGGCTCCCTTTATCACCTACTTGCTGTGGGCACAGCATGAAGGGGCTGGAGCTGATCCATGAGGGTTTTCTTCATATCCTTCCTCCACTTTTTTTTTTTTTGGGGGGGGGCTATTAAAATGCCACCCTCATCTAGTGATGCATAGCACCCCAGGATCAAAGATAACATTTATTCACTTTCCTTCCCCATTTTGCCTTTCTGGCACAAGGAAAAAGTTTTTATTTTGAAACATTATGTTTTAAAATGAATCTGTTTTTCATTATTACTTATCTGTGTTCTCAGAGAAACTGATCTCCGAATGTAGCACAGGTAGAAAATCCATTAAAATCCCTTCCCTACTTGTCCTTTTATCCTTGACTGGGGAGATTCGTTTGAAAATAGCTTAATGACTCTTATCCACAAAATATCCTTATCTAACCATATATGAATCAATTCAGATGAAGCCATATTTCTCTTAGCAACCGAAGAATCAGTCTTAGCAACAAGACAGCTGGAGAATTTTGTTTTCATACAGTTATTTGCGGACAGTACGTTCTGCTTTTTGCTTTCCCATGGCATTGCTGTTTCCATGTGGACTTAGTCTTGTGTAAGAAAGGGACTGATTCAGTCACTTGCTCATAGCAAAGACATCACTTGCTGGGCAGAGCACAATCACTCTACCTTTGATAATACTGCCTTTACAAAATAGTGCAAGAGAACTGACTGCTGGAAAGCTCAAAATTCAAATTTCTTCCAGAATAGAATTACTGCAAAGAAACGTGTGAGGAAGCTGATGGCTTCCAAAACCTTGTCCTCCCCAGGAGAAACCATAATGGAGAATGATATCAAAGCATTAGCTCTAAAGGCTCACATCTCGGTAGTCTCTCTTAGTGCCTGTTTGTGTTGAAAAAAGTTAGGAAGGTTGGACAGAAGGTATTACAGGTAGTTCTGTCCTCTGTTTTCTTAGCAAGAATAATTGTTAATAATAAGGGACAAATATTATAGTGAGGAAACTGGAAACGTGAGAGCAGTTGCCATTGTGAGCATTACTTGGGCTGATGTCTTTCCAGGACTGCTAGGAAAGTTCTCAGTCTGAGAAGTGTCACTTATCCTTGCATATGGCACTGTACAAAATAATGGAGACAACGTTGAGAAATTGCAGGAGATTGAGAACAGTAGAAGATTTGAAATTTTCTAAGTAAAGCCTGAAGAGGCAATGCCAGGATGGCACTTGTGAGCAGGCTAATGTTATAGTAGCTTCTATGTCTCAGTCCCACATCTGTGTACGGAAAAATGTTACCATGTGTATTTTGATCCTACTGAAAAATTCAAAGCACAGGTAGAAATAGTAAATGCACTCACACTGTCACCCATGGTCCTTCTCTGTCTCCTCCTGCAGGGGCTGTAGGCATACTGCATGCTGGCTTGATTCCCTCGCTTGTATTCAAACTGAAGACCGAGTTGGATGAAATCCAGGAGCTAATCCTAGACACGCTCGCCAACTGCGTGTGTGCAGATGCTTCTGAAGCTCTAGCAAGTGGTGCCGTTACCATCCTGAAGCAAAAGCTTATGCATTCATCAGTGGCCATCAGAAGCAAAGCAGCTTGGGTCCTGTTAGGAATCAGGTAAAGGAAAAGAAAACTGTGTATAATACAAAACCCTGAGAAAATACCCATCTCATAACTGAATCACATTCATTAGTAAACAGCTGTGTTCCACTATACATTGAACCTGTCACATTTCACACGTAAAGTAATGTCAAGCTAACTGCACACACAGATAGAAAATTCTAAAATCATAACTGCTTTAAATCACTCAGGAAAACAGATGCCGATGAGGAGCAATATTCCCTCTCCTCCAATTTGTCTTCCATATTAGTAGTGAAATCAGGGCTCTTCCTGGCATACTACTGCTAGAAAAAAAAAAATTCGAGTGTGCAACCAGGATTCTGACCGCTTACAGGAAAAAAGACGCTCTCTTTATTTTTTTCACAACAGTTCTCTCTCAAAAAAATTATAAGGGTCTAGGTAAATTTTCAATGTGATTGAAAAAAGAAATAGTTTTCTGAGATAGGCTGCTACATGTGGAGTGATGGATTAGAAAGAGCAGTCTTGGTATTTAGTTTGTATATCAAACACTAGATGAAAGGAACCGCTTGAGTCAACTGCATCCCGCAATCGCAGATCAAATTGCTCAACAGATGTCTAGTTTAAAAGGATCTACAGATCATCCATCTAGCTTACATACCGATTGTCATAAAACACTTCTTATTGTCCTATAACAAGACGAGGTCTTATAGCAAAAGAAACTATAGATATAATGAGTTGTAGAAAGACAGTAGGAATGGACCTAGAATAAGGGTATCACTCTCTAGGTCCTTGCAATAGTTGGGCCATGTTAAATATTCCCCACATTAGAGAGGCTGGAAAGAAAGAGCTGAAACTTACCCAGGAAAAGAATTCCCTGCAGACCCCAAATTTAGTAGTTGGTTTATATCTGTATCTATCTGGTTCCACAGACAGGTGTGTAACTTCATGGCCATTAGGACCACCAGCACACTTCCAACTGCATCCTGTCCTTGGTCCTTGCCCATCTCCAGTGCATGATAGAAAGTAAAAAAAAAAAAAAATCCAACCACCACCTAAAAAGAATTTCATAAAAAAGTGTTAAACCCACACACAGGTTAGTGTGCTAGCATCAATATTGTGTCTGCAAGCAGATTTAATACACATCAGTGAAAAGCAAATGTCCTCTTTCTTTTGTTTGTGACTGGGCAATGGTGCTTACCGTCTCTCTAACGTTCAGGACATTTTGACTCAAAAGAGAACAGAGAGGAGGCCTATGTCAGCAATCTTGTCATGAAATGAAGGACGGCCACAGGGGGCTGGGCACGGGGAGCAGCTCTGGTTGCAAGGTTAGCAAACGTAGTTCAAAAAAGCAACTTAACCATCTCTTCTGCGCAGTACCCATCCAGAGGGAAAAAACACGGTATGTGAAGAAGACGTTATTCCTGCGCTGGTGAACCTGTTAGAAGATCCAGAGCCTGAAGTCCAAGCCAGTGCAGCAGGAGCACTGATGCTTGCTACCGTTATACCTCAGGGTGAGAGAAAGAGGCAGTCCTGCTAAGGATCCTCTCTGGAATCCCATTCTAAGGCAACCTAATAACAAAACATGTGCCTTCAGGTTCCAATGGTGTTAAAGCTGTTGAAGAAGTTATAAGACTGGGACACTTCCTTAGATCTGTCTTCAGCAACTTCGTTCACCCCATACTGTCTAGAGACTACAATGCATTTCACATTTCATTCACTTGAAGTAGGTCAAGAAGATAAACCTCTACGACATGTGAGCCATTTGCCTCCATAGAGCTGCTCCAGAGGAGAAAAATTTTCTCTTCAAGTCAGGGCTTCATGCAGAGCCACATACCTGGGGCCACTCTGAATCACCAGTCCTCAGAGGAACACTACTTCCTGGAAACTTTTTTCAGTGGTTAGAGGGAGTTTCCTTCCCACAGCTAGGAAAAGAATTAGTATTAATAATGGCTGTAGTTCTCCCAAGTCAGTTACATGACACTGAAAATACTAACTGGTAAATTTTCAGTGTGATGAATGAGTAATTAGACATAAAAGACTCTTAATAACAGCAATTGTGTTCCAGTCCTCCTCTGCAACTGTCCCCCTAGCTTCAAAAGACGACACAGGAGTGGATCTAAGCGTCTAAAGTGTCTTTAAAAAGAAAAGAATGGAGGATGTTCTTAAGGGCATCTAACCCCCTCAAAATTTATCCTATCGTTTGGTGTCTCATACATTCTTTGAAAATGTTTTGCAAATGACTTGATAATGTGGAAGGCAAATGAAGTTAATTAAGAAAGATTTTTTTTTTTCTAAAAAATAAGCAGTTGGCGATTACCTCTCGTCTTCAGTGGAAAAAGCACATCCTACCTCTCTGCACTCCACACTCTGGGGTGTTCAGAGCTGTAGCTGGGCAGGAAATCAAAAGTGGCGATTCAAAATTTTGTTTCATTATGTGCAATAACACATTGTAAAGCCAGTGTATCTTTCCACAGGGAAATTCTCAGCTCTAGGTGCTGAAGCCATTCCACCTTTGCTGAAGTTGGTTGCTGAGGAAACCAGCAAAGCCCGCCTGAGCGCGATCAAAGCCCTCACCATGCTGGCTGAGTTACCCGAGGGCCGCAAGACACTCCTCGCTCATACAGATACGTTTCAGCAGTGTCTGAACGACCCCTGTGAGGCAGTGAAAAGAGCTGCCGAAATTGCCATCCGTGTCATCAAGTGGAAACCTTTCTGAAGACATGATGTTTCACAGAGATCTATTGCCCTCTGTTGATATCTTGCTGTAAGAGATGCACTATTATATGAGATCTTCAAAAACAAAACTCTTCCTCAGTTACTCTTCCTCAGCTCCTCCTGATATGTCATTTATCAACAGTTTTATATCTACGACAGGCCACAAGTAGAACAATGTGGGGAAGAAAGTTAGGGAATCTACAGTTCTCCACTAGAAATTATATCCTGAGATATCCAGATCTTCCTGTGATACAAGAAAGCGATCCTTTTTGTTTTCTGCATAATGGTCTCTCCCTTTTTTTTCATTATTTTAGCCTATCAAACATTAATCAATAACTAATTATATGAAAAAAGAAAGGTTCATAATTAACTTCTCCAGCAGTCTTGTCTATGCTAGGAAATTGATCTAGCTACCAGCAGGAGAATTTGTAGGAGTTTTGCTGCAAACAGGTGTTGAACATGGGATTAAAAACCATTTTCAGCATCCTCACAGGAAGAGCAATGGAATGGCAGTGTCACAGAAGGCCTCTCTCTAGAGAAGTATAAGGCCTTTCCAGCCCAAACTATAACCAAATACTTCTCAGTACAGTTCTACCAAATTCTGTTGCTGACAACACTTGCCAGCAGCAACTCATTTTTCCTAGTACAGGCTGAGTTTAAAGGCAGGACTGTGATATGCATGCAGGATGGGGAAAGAGCAAAATCAAGCTAACACATCAGAATATGAAAGTTGCACTGAGTCAGTAGTTTTCTTTCGATCTGTGGTGCCATATGTGTGCATCAGAAGACAGTGTAAAACTCCTTTTAGAGATGAATATATTATAGTTTGCCCTGAGGAAAATAGTTGCCTAGTCTCTGACCATCAGTGGTAAGCGCTTGCTTTTAAGGTGAGAGTTTATGTTCTTTCTGTACCTCGAATTCAGTTTTTGTGCATTTTGCCTAAAAAATGGCTTCCTGAATGCTAATAAATGCTTTTCTTTAATGTCTTCTGGAGGCAAATTCTACAGGTTAGCTTTGCTGCTTTTTTGGTATCTTTTTAATAGCTAAAATCGGTAGTGGATCTAATGCTTTTTACCTGGTGGGAGTCCTGCTGGTGAAGGCGACGGCACAGGTACAGCGCTTCCTATTGCAGTGTGTGCTTCCAGCGTATACATCCAGGTCTGGCACGCTGTGGTGCCAGGCACATGCACCCTCCACGTTTGGTGCTGGAGGGAAAGACGACTCAGAGAGGGTTATAAAATTCTGGTGGAAATGGACCCAACTGCCCCAGGCTGAGAGCTGCACCAGCTTAACCCTCTCTCTGTGCAGAATAGCAAGGAGCAGGGCAAGCTGACCCTAATACTAGGGTCCAACATGGATTGGACTAGACGATCTCCAGAGGTCCCTTCTAGCCTCAACTATTCTGTGATTAATGGTTGTCTAAATAGAGAGATGAGGCGGTAACCAAAGCAACTCTACTTCGGAAAAATATATATATTTTTTCCCCATTTTCCTAACCCAACATTTTTTAAAAAAAAACATCTTACTTCATAGAATCAAGGATAACATGAAATGTTCAAGCTGTCTGAAGAGGCAAGCTTGTCCAACAAGACGTAAACTGTCTGAAGGAAATCAGGCAGTTCCTGTGTTCAGAGCTGAGGGGCAGCTGAAATGGAGAGGAGCCCTGTATCATTTTACTGACTGCATGGTCAAGGAAGGTCACCCCAATAGGTTGCAAATTTCTCTGTCTGTAGTTGCTAGTGTGTCATTTAGGAGGCGTCAAACAGAAGAACACCTTAGAGAAGAAATGAAGCAGCAGCACAAATCCTGACCATTATGAGTGCCCAAGGAGGCACTGTGCCTCCTGTGCACTGTGCAGCTGGCTCAGCTTGACAGGGAGTCCCATTTGTGTCCACTCAGGTGAAACACGGTGGGATTTTTTGCTATTAGTTAGGCAGTTGTAGCTAAACAAAACTTCATCATGCGTATAAGTTTGTCAGTGCTGCTTTTCCACTGCACAAACCCAGTGCTGCTCTGCAAACTGTGGTACCTTTATGCCAAGGGTGACCCTATTCTAGGCGCTGCAGGTGTGATTAAGGTTAAAGGGTTTCTCTTCCATAACCGAGCCAAAGGGACAATTTCTTCTTCTATGAAGACGTGATTTAAAAATACTGAGTCAGGTGGATTCATTCCCTCTGGGCAGCATGCTGGAAGAGCTCTGCCTTTCAAACACACTCTGCATACTTAAGGCACTCATCTATAAAAAATATCGATGCCTGAGTGCATCCAGTTCAATAAGAGAGAGCCACGCAGCCTAATAACACAGTAAATGTGCAGGAAAGGACTAAGAAACAAGAGAGATTGGTGGTTTTGTCTACACTTACAAAAGCGCTGCAAGAAAATGCAGGAGCAATGATCTTTTTAGCTCAGTTCCAGACATTTGTCACAGCCTTCCCCCAACAATTCAGGAAGCACACTTAGCAAAGTTAGCAAAATAACTAGCTTGTTCAGATACAGGAATAAGACCCTCTAGACTGAACTGCTCTGATGAGGAGATTTAGCTGACTCAGACCTTAAATATTGCATTCTGGGGGGAGATTTAGCTGACTCAGACCTTAAATATTGCATTCTGGGCATCTAGTTGGTCACTGTTGGTTTAAAGACGATATAAACTGTATCCAAATAACGCTCTAACATGGTATTGATAGTTTTGTCTTATGCGCACACACAGTACAAGCCTGGAACTACGCCTTAACTGAACGCTTCGAAATACGGATGCTGGTGGCACCCCTTTCATATCCCAGCCTTCAGTTCCACAATTCTTTTGGTGCTATTACATCTAACAGCATCAAACAGATAGTTCAACCACAACAGTAATATCTTTCGAGTATACTGACCATGTACTTGCCTACATAAACACTCACAGAAACTCAAAGTCTGCATATAGAACAGCTGTGAACTTATTAGTGGAACTTATTATTATTATTTGAACTTACTTATTATATGAGCTTACTAGATCTTTTTTTGACTTAGAAGGCTATGTTTGCTGAAAAAAAGGCCACAAATATTGTAATTTAAATTCACTTGCTTAGGCCTGGAGCAGCTTGCCTCAATCTATTGGAGGGACTGCAGGTGATGAACATTTGCAGGAGCAGAGCACAACACGTGACACAATGGTGGCAAAGTTAAGCAGCCTGTGTGATTCGCAGGATGCTAGAGGACAGCGTAGGCTAGTGCAGAAGTTATCCCATTTATTGCAGAACACTACACCCCTGTCTTCTAACTAGTAGGGTTTTGAGAGCTCTGTTATCTTCGCGCCCAAGGGCTGGGTGTCTCATGCTGCGTTATACTGCGGCAGACTGGTGCAGGAGAGCAGACAGCACAGGCACAACGCAGCAACTCTGGAACACCACAGAAGACAAAGGACAAAACGTGGATTTACCTGATGTAGCAGAGAAATGTCACACTACCTCCTTTGTATTCCTCACTATATGGAACCTGAGTTGAGAGGTAAGTTTTTATTTTGCCATATATTTTGCCATTTCAGTCCAGAGTAAAATATGACACACAGTTGCTCCTAAAAGAATGTGGTGATTCCTACATCTCCTCCCCAAAAATCAGTTCATCAGCCACAACTTGATATCTGAAATGTTCCTTCAGAGCCTTCATGAAGACCTCTAAGATCTCAAATGTAATTGAAATTAGTCCAAAAGGTAAAATTCTTAACTAAATATCCTAACCTGTTTTTTCCCTCCAGGAAAATGGAGACAACACAGCTGAATAAAGCCTGGTGAATGCTCCCCCTTGGAGTGACTGTGTTTTCAGTTGAGTATACTCAGTAATAAAACTGCAACAGACTTAGTCACATAAAAAAGCTAAAGATGCATTTGAATTGCTTCATACACATTATAAATACTTAAATTAACATGTCCGGATCTGGCACTCACACACACTGTAATTAAACTTGTTGTTTTAGAAGAAATGTGTTGTATACAGCAAGTCTTTGTCTTTGGTGCCGCATGTTCCACAAACAATGCTCTACAGTATGATGGCATCAGCACCTAGGCACATTTTCAACATCAATCACAAACAATTTGGCTTTTTAGCTTGAAGCCAGCAATGGTTAAGGCCCAGATAAAATTAACAAGGTCCTGGGTCAATAATAGAATTAATTCACTTGGGCACAACACAAATCCAAGTTTTCAGTTCAGCTGCCTATCATGTCTCAGCAATACTGGGAAAAGAAGGGAAGATAGCCACCCTCATGGGACGCAAGACCTTCTTCTACAAAACTTGTGTGCCACATACCAGCAAGGTAGATCTCATTTTGAAAGTGCCCAGGTTTACATTATTTATAATATTATATTTTGGCGCTTTGTTCTTTCAGCTACAGACTCGCTGCCCTGTCCCCATTTGCTTTCAAAAGTCCAAGAGCTGGAAACCGTTCTGCTCTCATATAAACCTTGCTCTGAGAAATGGCAGCTTTTACTCCTATTTCTTCACGTTCCAAAGCAGGGAGCGTGTTTGCTTTCCTCCCCTATCTGTTCTGTGAAAAAAATGTTGAATCAAAATCATATTAAAAATGCACACAAGTGAGAGCTTTGTGTAAAGACAGAGCAAAGAGGCTCGTAAGTCAGATCTGGCTAATCATTTATTATATTAACTCTCAGCACCAGAATGTGATATCTATGGCTACATGCAAAACCAGCACAATGAAAAATTCAAGCTCGGTATGTATTTTTAAGAAGACTACAATCTTTGACAAAAATCCATCAGCTTGGTTGAGTGAAAATCATTGTAATAACTTGTTTAAGAAGTATTTTGAATATAAGATAAGCTTTTAAACTCATAGGCTCTGATACCGTTAAAAAAAAAAAATGCTGCAGAGAATAACGCTGAGCGCTCGCTTACCTGAGCTTGAGGTTCTTCCCGTTACCTTGGGAGACGTAGGGGAGCTGCTGCCTACTGTGCCCTCGCAGCTGCTCTCGCCCTAACCACGGACGGGGCACAGCACGCGGGGACAAGAAATTCAGGTAAATTCTCCTTTTTCCCAGCTTCCCGTGGTAGATGATAAGAAGAGCAAGTGTTCTTTGGGAAGGAAAAAAATATCAGCCTGCTTTATTAATAATTAAGGTACTAACCTCAAGCACCTGTGCTGGTTATCTGCCTTTTATCAGAACAACTGGTCGGCATTGCAGTGAGGGTGGTTTTACTCCACCCTCAAAGTTCCCTAGACTAGGCCTGCTATACACTCTACTAAAAAAAAAAAAATGCCATGCATCACCGCGTCCTGCTTGCTTTGTACCATCCTTCTTAGAGAGGTATTGCCCTGTGTTGTTAAATCTGTGCTAGTGATACAGTATTTTAAGTCAAACAGAAAGGCAGCTGCGTAATCGCGGCTCATCCCTTCCATTCTTGTTACCCCACTGCAACGTTGCACGGGCCACGGGCACAGCACAGAGAGCTGCAGCTGGCGAGCAAGAACATCATTAAGTTCAAAAAAAAAAAATCAGCCTTCCTTCAGAAAAGCTCTCCTGGGCCCCCGCAGCCTGCGAACAGCCCACAAACAGCCCTTCGCCTTGCAGTGTGACTGTCTACCCCAGGAATAGCTGTTTCTTAACTCTCATCCAGTCTAGTGCTTCTAACAGACTAATTCAAGCACTCCTTGAAGACAGCGCGGCAGGCGCCACAGCCTTTCTCCCACACGTCAGTCACTGCTGGTGATGCACACATTGATAGTTTAGTTATAATATACTACAAAGTATTATATAGTTTATAGTTACGCTTGGCATCTCATCTTTCTGTCAGCTTTTAGTCTGTGCAACCGTTCCTAACTCTGCCAGTTCAACGCAGGAGCGGAGCAAGAGCCTGAGCCGGTGAGCAGTCGCTGCTGCTGGTGCTCTCTTCGCTGCAGTCACGTGCCAAAAAAACTCATTCCTTGTGTTTGTGCCCTTAATTCATCATATATATTTTGGTTAAGATTAAACCACACTAAGCCACAGACCTTCCCTCCCTGAGTGACTGCTGCTGTGCATGAGTGAAAATTCAGTGCATAGTAAAAATTCAGTAAAAAATTTCAGTGCGTAGTGAAACTGGAACAAAATCAGATTCTAAGAACAAGGTGTTCTCATGACCAAGGTGATTAACAATTGCAAGGTACTTGGAGACTTTTGTTACGAGGGATACAGAAAAAAGAAAGCATAAATGAAGTGCAGATAACCTTTTTCAGGATTTGGCCTGAAAAACATGTAGTAATTCTCAGATGAAAGATCTGATTTGCTTGGCCACCTATGTTCTTTAATCAGTGTTGCAATTGGCGTACAGTGCTACTAGGTGGATTTTGGGGTTTGGGGGTTTTTGTTTTGGTGCACAGTTCATCTAAAACATTTCTGTAAGTCTAAACTAAAAGCCAGTAAAATAAGTTGTAACTGTATACCTAGTGTGACAAGCTAAAGTGGGATGACTCAGAATCTCCTGAAACAGAATTGTATTATGGCATGAGTGTACCCCAGCACCTATGAAGCCTTCTGGCCAGAGACACATCCAAAGTTTTTCCACTAACCAGAAGTATTTCAAATTTACAGTCAGCTGTGGAAAACAAGAATGTGCCACCATTCCCATTTCTAAAGCATAAGACTTGTGTAAGCTGGTCTTTGGGTTTTGTCTGACACTGTCCCACACCAACAACTGTAACATGGACAGCAGTCCACTAGGACCTGAAGAAGAATCGTTAACTTTCTTCCTTAAAATCATGAAACCAACCAGAGGTGGCATTTAACTATTAATCTAAAGGTAAAAGCCTTTATGTCCTTTCATCTGTCCACAAACGCAGGCAATATTCGTATGAAATGATATAAAATTAGAGGAGTACTCTAAGCAGTAGTCAAACTTTATGCAAACATTTGAACCTGGGCCTCAGCTAGGTCCAGTTTTCAGACCTGAACCAAAGCAGGTGGCTGAGGATGTAGGCTGAGCGCCTCTGTGAAAGTGCTTTAAAATTTCTTAACCTTGGAAAGGAAAATACGACATTACCAGATTAAACAGGAGACCATTTGAAGGCTGCTCAACCTGCCAAGAATTCATTTATATTATTTGTCATCATCCAAATGGTTGTATCATTTCACTATATTTTTCTCTGTGTAACAAAGCATAAGCGGCTCTGTCTTGAGCTGGGCAATCCCCAAGAAAGGCTTTCTTACCTGTTTGTCATCCACTGTTGATACCCAGAGCCAAAATCCAGACATCAAATAAAAGGGTAACCTTATCCCCATGCTGGCAGGTGACGGTGTCTCAAGAGGTTTGATTTTGACCTAGTACTAACTAAAGCCCAAATTAAGTTTCTGCGTCTTCCATTAAGTTATCTTAAAAAATCCATCGTTTTGTGGACACCAAATACTTTAAAATATACAAATACTTTAATACATACAAGTCTTCATAGTCCATTAAATACAGTTAATTCCATGGTCTTTAAAATACTCTATCACTGTATTAATTGTAAGAAAATAGTTTGCTCTGGTGTTTATAAAATATTGATTTGATCTGGCCTATGCAAAACATTTCAGTATACTGCAGGGATTTTACTGAAGATCTGAGAATTTTTTGAGATTCAAGAGAAGAAAATATACTGTCAGAAGACTGGAAAGTGACAGTGATGAAAGCTGCAGGACTTAGCAGCTTTGTGGTGGAGCTCCTACAGAAAGACTATATTAGCTTCCTAGTGAGGCTTATTGCAGTCCAGTGCATCCTGCTGCAGAATATCGCTGGACAACACACTGCACTGAAATGGTCTTGAGACCCTGCAGCACGCTGTGATCCATGTACAATAGTAACAAGGAATTGTTATGTAGCTTGACTGCAGCAACTAATGTCTTCCTTTTATAGTTGATTCCCCGAAAGGCTGAATTTGATGATAAGAAGGTCTATTGTTTTGTTGTTGTTGTTTTTTGGAAGTCTTACATCTCTCTTTTCCTGTGTCTTCAGCTGGTTTCAAACCTCCTAATCAATTGAAGACAATCAAGACTAGTTTAGCTGATATCCCACAGCTGTGCCTATTCTCCTTCATGAACTGTTAACTCATACTGTCACACTTAATAGTCATACAGTATGAATTATATTTCTCAATAAAGCCTTCAGAAGAAAGATTTGTAGTTTTGCAGAAAAACAGTGTAACGCTCTTAAACGTACTTGACAGAAAAACGCAAACCCAGCGTTCCAATGCTTTTGTAACCGTGTGCATGGATTGTTACATAGTATAGTCCATAGAAAGAGGCAATTAAATAATAGTCTAAACCATCTCCACAAAAAAGAGGTCCAAGCTGGACCAAGCTGCAAATGACTCCACAAAAAAATATATATATACACACACACACACACACACATATATATGTACACATACACACAATATATTGTATGTATGTATATAGTGTATGTATTTTGCATAAATAAACCTTCCCATTCAAGTATAGATACACATTAAAATATATAGAGAGGGGCACCTTTTGAAGTTTACCTTAAACTGAGAATCTATCACAAGCAGAATTCTTGTTAGAATTATTAAGACCTGCTTTGCCTAATTTCAAAACCCAATAAATACAGAAGTTTAGTGTTCCACTGAACACTGAGAAACCCAACACAGTGAAATATGTCAGAGAAAGTGAGAGTAGGGGAAAAAATGATAACAGAAAAATAGACATAGTGTCAAATACCTGAATACATACACTTTCACTGAAGGTATCCTATGCTTGGAGGGAACAAAAGTGATTGTTTATCTTGAATCCATAGAACAGTCCCTCAGTTAATTTTTTTAGTTATTGAATTATCGTAAGGAAAAAGAAATTTGAATGTTCAGAAAAGAGGTGAAAATCAAACTAATATCATCAACTCTTTAAGATTCATATGGCTCATGCAGCCTTCATCTGCACCTCAGATATGAAATGCATTATGAGAGGAAAGAATATTGGATGGAAATTGTGAACCAGGACTGATCCTGGACTGATTCAATGTCTAAACAGAAATTCTCTCTCTTAAAATCCCAGTAGCCCTGCTCTTTAGATTGTTGAAATTATGATCACAAAACCAATGAATGAATTATCCTAATTTTTACGAACTTAGACAATGAAAATACCAAGTGTATCTAATGCTGTGAATTTACAAGTCATCATTTTTGCTGAACAATACAGTACAATTTTAGAATTGTAATCAGAGCTTTATGCAAAAAAGGCATGGCAAAATACAGCCACAGTCAATAGGATGATGCCATTGATATTCACAACATTTCTCCAAAGTGGCACTTCTGACGTGTCAGTCAGTTTCTTCTTCATTGCTTCCTCCTCCTCTTTGCTCAGTTTGGATCCTTTTTGCTGATCTAAGCCACAGAACCAGTTGTAAGCTTTCTTTAAGCATCCTGGCTCTTCTTCGTTTCCTTCTATACCTGGAGGGAATAACACACTGGTCATGCAATGTAAACATGGACTGCTATACGTGTGTTAAAAGATGTCAGTGACTGAGGACAATCCTATATTTATTATAGCAGCTCAGATTTATGGTCTTAGCTACATGGAAACATTTTAGTGCAAGTAGAAGAATCAGGTGAATAACGTGATTTCACCGCTCACCTGGAAAATGAGTGATTTATTATATGTTGCAGGAGGCCTTTTGCAGCCTAGAGACTTGATCTGGTGTTTGAGAAGCTGGCCACATTGCAAAGCTTAACCTGTCATCTCCATTTTTCAATACTTTAATACTTTTTATTAAAATCCACATAGATGAGTTTGAGGATAGTTACGAAAATGAACTTGGCAGCAGAGCCAGAAGCCCGGCAAAGAGAGCAGGTGGTTTTGCCCAGATGGAAGCCTGGCAATTCACTTTCATGCTGCCCAGCACTACATCTTTGCTGTTTCAATCCTGGCTTCTACATACCATTTCCAAGTGATTTCTCATTTTATCATTCCAAGTGCAAGTGTCGCACACAGCTCTGCCAACACACATCGCCCCGACCTACAGCTTCTCCACTGTTTTAGTCCTAACGCTGCCCCCTGGCTACCTAGAGAATGAAAATTTTCCCTTCGTATCAGCTTTACTTCTGATCTATGCTAAGCTTGTTAGAATGGTAGAAGGTACCCTACTAACCCCTTAAACTTGTGAGGCTTGAATGAAGTTTTGTTATTTTGGTTTTTTTTTTCTTTGAATACTAAGCATGTTATTGTTCCTTCAGGAATGAAATAAGGATTTTCAAATATATTGATTGCATCTATAGAGATTACAACAGAAGTTACTCAGCAGTCACCTAATTCCTCATCTTTGTCATCAGGTTTCTCCTGTTCCTCATCTGCATCAAGATCAATACGTTCCTCTTTGCTGTTCCGCAAAGTCCAGCACAAGCGGTGAAGCTGCCATGAAACAAAGTGAGTTTGTAACACTACAGTCTTAATACACAGAGACAAGCAAGTCTGGCCAGCACATGAACAAGCCATAAGGCCATAGCATGCCAAATGTCTGTTAAGTCAACATATAAAATTATTATTAGGAATTAGAAATAGTTAGAATTATTAGGAATCACTGAAGGCTTGTGGCAGATAAATGAAGACTATTTCCTTTGCTTTCTTACAGGAACTATATGATGTTTACAGCTGAAATGCCAGGAGATACTATACCGACTGATAGCGTTGAACACTAATGGTTTCATTGAGTTCCTTTTCCTGAGGAGCAGGAGTGCAAATGATACTCACGTGTACATCAGGAATGGGCTTAGTCATTAGAGACACTGCCAGGATGATGATGACGGAGATCCCAAAAAGAATTATTGCAAAGTAAAGGTAATGAATCCCACAGATGATGAATGGGCATCTGGAAGGGTTCACACAGCTGCCAGATCCATAGGCAAACTCTGTAATCATTCTAGCAAGTCCAATTACCAGCCCAATGATCAGGCCCCAGAAGGCACCCTATAGAAAAGTGACAGAAGTTATCAAAATGAGAGATTTCAGGCATAGAAATAATTCTTCCTGATCTCTGAACAGTTGCTGGGGGAAACAAGGAGGTAATTACATGTTACACTGGCTGTCGCACATTATTTATGGTTTTTAACCCAGATAATGTAAATGACTGTACTTACAGCTCAGCATATTAGCACAAGTGAAAGGGGTGATGAGATCAGAGAAGGGATAAGGAGAGCACCTTATCCAACTGTTATTAGTAGCTTGTACAGTGCATTTGAATAGTAATGGTAATGCTGATTATTGGTAAAGCTCAGTTATCTGCTAACGCATTCATAAATTGATCTAGACATGGAAGTAAAGGATACTATGGATACTTAAGATAGGACTGAGCCATCAGGCTACTATGTGATATACCTATGCAATACAGTTATACAATTACCAAACACCTACAAAGCCAAAATCATTACTGGAAAAAGAATGAAAAGTAACTGAAGTTGCATTCATTTGGCTATGGATTTAGCCCAAAGTGCAGAGGACACACAAAAATGTGTCTTGGCACAAATTGAAACACAGAAAATTCTGTTTAAATGTAAGAAAAAACTCTTTTTTACTGTAAAGGTGATTGAACATTGGAACAGGTTGCCCAGAGAGGTTGCGGAGTCTCCATCTTTGGAGATATTTAAAATCCAACTGGACAAGGCTCTGAGCAACCTGCTGCAGCTGACCCGGCTTTGAGCAGGGAAACTGGACAGACTCCAGAGGTGCCTTCCAATCTCAGCCATTCTGTGATTCTCTCAAGTAAAAAAAACCTAATGATGGTATCAGAAAATTATAAATCCTGATTAAAATGTTCTAGTTTTAATGCTGAGTTTGAGAACAAAACAGTTTTAATTATTCAGTTGTCAAAGTCACAAAAAGGTTTTGAAGTAAGATAAGGTGGTTAATTCCATTTCTAGCTGAAAGAAGAATGATTCTGAGCAAGAAATATTGATAAATCTCATAAACAGTTACAATATAGGAATTTATGTTATACAAGGCCTCAATTCGCCGAAGCTTTGATGCTTGTCTGTCCTATGTACCTAAATTCAAAGTATGCAGTGTACACAAAACTCTGAGGGTTTTATTAAATTCTTCCTCAGGCAAAATTCCAGCTAAAGTCAATGACAGATTTCTGAGAACGGCATAAAGATTTACTCCTGAGATTTAGCCATATTGGGAGAGGAAATGGAAAGTCCCCTGTGTGTAAAATGCTTTTTTTTTTTTTTTTTTTTGGATATACACACAAATAGCCACTGAACTGGTCCCTAGGGAAAACAGTGAGAAAAAGGTTCCAGCCAAGTTATTTCTCTCTCCAGGCTTTCTAATCATATCATATGAGCACCTCAGAAACTCTGAAGAACTTATCCTTCTGGGAACATAGCTGAGAGATAGGAAGCATTAGTATTCCCAGTATTAAAGAAAAGAAATTGAATTTCTGAGTTTTCAGTATGTCTGAGACCCGAGTTATGATGACTGGCTGGAGGTCTCATCAAAGCACGTGGCAGAGCTGAGAGCAGACCTCTGGCCTTCTGAGTTCCTTACAAAGGCTTAACTACAAAATTTCTCCTTGTTTGCTGCACTAAGAATCAAAATCAGTGATCTTAAATTGGATCTTACAGGCAATGGGAAACAATGCATAAAACAGCAGATTTACCCACATATGGTAGAAAGGGTGAATGATTATTTATCAAACTAGCACAGAACTTTTTTCAGACAACTCTTTTTCAGACAACTCTGTCAGGCCCTGGGACATGGAAATACAGGGTAACCAGGAAGAAGTTGCTAATAAAAGACACCAAAACAAAAAAAGCAGTTGCCCAATACCTAAAGGAACATGCAGCATACCTGTTTCCTAATTTGTGCTTACCTGCTCATTGACCCGCTTGCAGTAGATAGCAAGGAGGAAGACAGCAGCAATTGGGGGTCCCAAGTAGCTAGTGATCGACTGAATATAATCAAAGAGCTGCCCACTTTGAGCTGACTGTACCATAGGAACCCATGCAATGCTGATAGCAATTAAAAACAACATAAATGCCCTGTAAATATAGCCAGATATTCAATTAGTCACCTGCTTATAAGCATCTTTCAGAAATGAAAAAATCAGCAATTAATCAATAATTTAAATGTTGACTTTGTATTTCAACCAATAAAAACAGTGATAATGGCCAGTTACTGTTGAATGAACAAACAAACAAAATCCAGCTTGGATATTGTATCTGTTAAATATCAGTCCACTTACAGCTAAACATACAATCAAAACATGGACGAATCACTTCTTTCCTTTTTTTGTTATGTCTAGAGACAAATCAACAGCAGATCAACTAGAAGAACAGCTACTCTACTGGTGCTGCAGTATGGTGTAGTGTAAAAGCCTGCAAAGATATTTAAAATAGTTCTCTCTGAGTAGCAGTAGGAAATAAATGTTGAGAATTAGTCTGGCTATTTCATGCATCACTTTCAATTTGGAAATAGGGCCTGGAATTTCTGTCATACAATATCCAAAAAAAAGGCGTACATGGGACAACCTGTCTGGCCACAGGAGGCCACTGCTGCACTGCACGCACACTGCCAACGCAGGTTTTCACCCAGGCTCTTAACAACGGGCTGTTTGGCTGTCTGTAACGCACTAGTGCTTGCTACAGTTCCTCAGCTGGGGAAGACTCGGTAACACTTACCTTCCTGCTAACATGAGCTCTTTCTCAGATGCTCGCGTTCGAATCTTGGTGTAAATGTCCATAGTGAACAAAGTACTAGCACTGTTAAAAATGGAAGTCAAGGAGCTCATAAGGGAGGCCAACATGACTGCCAACATCAGACCCCGCAGACCTGAAATACAAAGAGACTTCACACATGAGCTGGGATGGGTGTTCAGTGAAGAGGCTCAGCAAGTGGCACCAGCCACAGTGCTTTCTCTGACCCCTTCAGCCCCGCCAGCCGTGGGTATGTCTGCCGTATTTATGTGCTGATGCCTGCCTGACGTTTCCCTGCAATGCAAGCAGAGTGCTGTCTGCTGAGCTTTGGAAAAACAGTGTTTACAGCAGTGATAGGGCAGCTTTTGAGCTTTTAGATCTTAGATACTTCTTTTGTGAATGCTGCCTGATTAGATGCTGTAAGAAAGAAAAAATACCAAGCAGACTTTCCCCAACAGTTAAAAAATTCATTTCTCTTTGTTGCAGTCCAGTGCTCACTTGCTTGTTGTACGTTTGTAAACTAGTTGCTTGGCATAAGTTTCTTTCACTGTTTGAAAATCAGGGTAACCCACTTTTCTAAATAGTATGATGTAGTCAACAACATACTATGGGGAAGTACTATTGTGTTATTACAAAACTATGGGGAAGTATAGAACTATGGTCTGTATAATATTTATCGTAATCTGTTCTCAGGTTTTCTGCAGAAGTTTCTCTTCCTTCCATGTATACTTAGCTCTCTCTAGAGCAGTGCCTCATTATTGAAGAGGCTTCATATGGAACAATGTGCATATGGGACAGTGTTTTCCCCTCTCACCTCGGGGTTTAACAGAAGAACTGCAGGTGTACGCCTCCAGCTCAGAAATCCTGACAGACAGTCTTTTATAAACCGCTGGCAAAGCAGGTTACTTTTGACCTTCCCAGAAAGGGAGCACAACTGCCATTTCATCAGCTACTATTTGCCAGCTGAGAGCTGGCACTGTCAGCACATAGCTATCTCGCACCTACAGCCACAACAACTGCCGCAGCCTGCCTCTTTGACTAACAGCATACAAGACTATCCTCTGCGTACCAGAATGAGCCCTGTTTTTTCGATACATAAGTCATAATAGCACAGAGCTGCTGTGATAATTTACAGATTAGATTAATCACATTAAATGACAGTTCAGGCCTCTAGTTCTAGCAAGAATTTCTGAATCTAAATCTGTGACTTGGGCTAACTCTATCACTTGTTTTCATAGTCTGGCAGCCTCCTCTTTCCTAAAACAAAAAAATAATACAGAGAATGTCTTACCGTCTGGCATAAGCTCTACTACCATCTTTGGATAAGCAATATTTGTACAGCCAACTGGGGTGCCACAGTGCTGCTGACAGATTTCAGGCACAATACAAGCCACCACATCTGAGGAGAGGATAACAAGGCAGGGTTACACCAGGTCGTACTATCAACACATCGCTCCCAAATTAGTCAAGCTTCTAAAGTTTATCTCTGTGCTGACCCACTGGATTGACATGCCTGATATCGCCTCGGGCTGCTAACAGGGAGGGAGGTGATTCTAAGCCTCTGTCCCCTCTTTCCTCTCTAAAAGACTACTAAAAAGTGCTGTGAGTCAAAAAAAACAAATCAGAATTAATTTGCCAGACCAGGACTGAACAACTCCTGGAGAGCAAGTCACAGAACAAGCAGAGGATCACTACACAAATACCCATCCAGTCTGCACACCCCTCCTCTGCCTGCTGTTAAACACACTGATGGTTATAGGGAGAGGGGAGACTGGCACTGCCCCAGGTCACCCAGCAAGTGTCCCACACAGTATCTCTCTCTCTCTCTCTCTCTCTCTCTCTGTCCCTCTAACTGGTGACCCTCTTCCCCCCATCGCCGACAGAGGGTCAGATCTGGGCAGCATTTCCCACTCATTTAGCCACAGTGGGGCTGTAGCAAACAGGCCGCTGGGGAGGGACGCTGGAATTGCTGTCCCCTGAGACGGACAGTGACAGCGTTACCAGAAACCTGGCATCTGGGAAATGGGAAAGACCTCTGGCTTCTTACCGGGCAGGAACTATTTGTGCCTGCGTGTGCCTGTACAACCTAGATGGCAAGATGACAATCTAATAGGTATTTAGGGAAGGACAGAGAGCAGAAAATTGAGAGAGGCTGGCAGATTTGCATGCCAGGATATACCTGTGTACAAAATTCGGCTAATCATTCCAGGCATCACCATAAGAAACATGGGCAAGAGCTTCAGGTACCCACACATGATACAGCCGGCCTTCACATGGGACATGTTCTTGCCAGAGAGACATCTTTGGACAATAACCTATCAATGAGACATGGCAAGCATGCATGAATCCAGCCAAGGACAGCATTACACACACACACCATGCCAGCTTCCAGGCACAAGGTGGCACTTACTCTGCGTCACAGTGAGAGAGCCTATATACCTTTCCTACCACTACAAAAAATAAAAGCTACATGAAAATCAAAGGATATACTTAAAACAAGTGAAGGAAAATATCCTTTATCCACTGTATGTTTAAAAGGTAGGACTCATTTCCACAAGATGTTCTCAAAGCGGATAGACTAAAAAGTGAAAAAGGAATAAAATATTTACATGAGCAATAGATATAGTTACATTACTTTTTTTTCCACAGAAATTTTCAAGATTTTCAAGGCATATAGCTTCCACATTACCTGATCTGTGCACCAGTACCACAGAGCAAGGATGCTCATACCAAAGATAAGCCCTGGCCATGGCAAATCTCCATCGATGGGATCTCGGAAAATGTGAAAGGAATCTTTCCGAGGAGTATAGCACTGTGCATCAATTGTAATATTTCCATAGGAGATATTGGATGGAATTGCAGCCATATACTTGTCCATGAAAGCTTCATACCCTCCTACTTTGGAAAAAGCTGCAAAAGAGAAAGTAATAGTAGTGATAAAGTATTTAATATGGAACATCTCTAATAGCGCTAGAGAGCTCAAGGAGAAAATTCCAGAATATGGATGTAAAATAGTCTAGCCAGTATATATCAGCATTTTCAGAAGACAGTATAGAGTGTTTTACATGCATTCAGGCAATCAAAGTGACCAATCTTTTTAGGTACCGCAGCTCTAAAAGATTGGTTTAGGCTCCTCTATCTCAATATCTTTTATGCATGTCTTGCCAAGAAGTGAAATGAAGGTATAGTATTTCCAGACTGTATTAGCCTAGGGAGAACCAAAGACAGAGTCTTAACAGATTAGGTCAATCTGAAGTTATTTCTCTTGTAACAATGGTGGAATAATTTAATTTCAGTGAAAGACTTAGCTAGACGAAAGCCAAGCACTGAGTAGCTAGAAGGAAAAGGAAAGGATGCTACAAAATCACAGAATTTCTTATTACTACTGCTTTTTACTTTCTTATGACCCCTTCCCATTACTTCTGTTTCACAGCATGATTTCTGTTTTAAAATGTATATGGTCTTCTGGACACATATCATCCTATCCATAAACATGCAATTCATATCTCTTCTCCCACTGGCAATATAATGGCATCCATACAAGCTACAGGGCTTACTTAAAATGTTAATATGTTTGGGGCATTTCAGCACAAGCCAGCAGCTAGAAACAAGGAAAAAACATGCCATGTGACCAACAGCTCTTCACTTTGAATTGGAAATTGCATGCACTAGCATCTGAATATCATTCGAATTATCATCTTCTTGAAACAAGCTACTCTCTGAACTTCCCAACAGTATCATCATTACCTGCAAACAACTCTGCTTTTACCTCACAAACCATCACAAGTCGTGTTCTCACATAGGGTACTATGCATTACCTTACACATTCCCCTGTACTTTGGAGATGAAATGGTCTCAGTGACTAAAGGGCCTGGCAATATGACAGTTTTCTTCCATGACAAGCAGATGTATGAACCAAAATCTGCTGGTTGTTGACTTAAGAGGGCTCCAGATTGAAGAATCCCCTTCTGTGGGCACTACAGGATTTGTGGTTGAACATTCCAGTTTAATTCATCTCCTTTACTTACCAAATCCCATGAGAATAAAGGATCCCACTACCATGATAAACGTTTGTAGGGTGTCTGTGTAAATCACAGCTGCAAGGCCACCTAATGGGAAAGAAAAGTCAAGACAAATAAGTTAGCCCCTGCACAAATGCCTCAGTGGAAATCCTCTTTTTTCTTTCCTCATCATTTCTCTCTTTCAAACAAAGACCATAATAAATCACACCCCTTTCAGGTTTTCACTTCTCCCCTCTTACCTCCCTCCTGTCTTTTCTTTTTTCTGCCTCCCCTAATTGTTTCAATTTATCAGACTCTTCTGCAAACTCACCTGTGATGGTGTAAAGAGCAGTAATAGCGAGCAGAATAATTATGGCCAAATAAAGATTCAGCCCCATAGCCAGCTGTATAAATACAGCTCCAGAGAATATGTCTGCCTATAAAAGGAAAAATGTCACATCAGGGTATGTTTAAGTTCATGATGATGGCATATCACACGTTCATGATGAGGGTATTGTCATATACAGACATATACAATTCCCACCTTACAGTATTGCACAAAAGAATAAATATAAATGTGCAAAATGCAAATAGAAGCAGTCTTACTACAATGGCCAGTCTCCTCTCAGTGCTAGGGAGAAACTCATTCCTTTTACTGCAAGAGCTACAACACTTTTCATAGTATTTCCAGATATTTTTCAATAGCTCATTTAAGCCAGACCCAGAGAGTCATCTCCTCACCACTGGGTGCTTACGCACTGAGAGAAAGTTTAATAACAAAATACTTAAAGCCCAAACTACGCTTACAACTGTATCGAGGGGTGGACTTTGTGACATCTCCAAGACTTATTATAGTTCTCTTCATTTAATGCTACTCTAAAGGTCTCCTAATTTTCCTTTATTGCTTACACATGTCTAGTCTTCCTCATTCAGGACAAATGGAGTTTAAACGCAAATATCTTATTTTACCACTATTTTTAAAATCCTGTCAGCAAAATTGGCATGCAGTTGGCTAACAACTTATCTACTAGGATAGGCGACATTACTTGTGCCTGGGGGAAAAGTCTGCACACAGGCAATTACTGCAGGGTGACTGCCAGACAGCAGCTCGCTGGAGGAGCAGGAAGCCCCACAGGCCAAGCCGTGGGAGTCCAGAGCCTCAGACCACAGAAAAGCCACTAGGGCTGTTGGTGTCCACGGCTGGGCAGCGATAAGGCAGGGCAGAAATATTAGAAAGCAATCGTGCAGTCTGGCTGGCTGGAAGGGCCTGGAGGAAGAAAACCTTTTCACAACACTGATCCGCTTATGCTCCAGGTCTTTCCTTCATTGTTCTTGGTGTTAGTTTAGCCTACACAGCGATAAATATTAATAGTCCTAAAATTACACCCACAAGGAAATATAGTTAATTATTTAGCGTTCTGAGCAATACATCAACTCCTTGGAACTGCTAAGTTACCTCCCTGCTTCACTGCTCCTCTCTCCCAGTTAGGTTATTTCCTTCCAATATGTCCTTGTCTCTCCATGAATATTCTTTTATGGATACAATTAAAAGCTTATCTTATCTCTGAATAGAGTAAATCTTTCCTCTATGTTGGAGGCTCTCTCTCCAAAGCCACGCACAGATCACTCAGGAACAATTGTCAGAACACAGTAGAGCTAACTTGGAGCCTGCGAACATCATGGGTGGATCCAGCTGCAATGTTAATGCGGGGGTCAGGGTACTGGCACATCCTCTTTCTCTTTACATGACATGGAAAACCCCTCGATATCATGCAGTTTTAAAAGAAAATTATCCTTCTTCCCCTTCTCCTTTCCTGGTAAATCTGCGTCAATACTTTTACTACTGAAATTATGCCCAATGAATCTAAATAAAATGCTGTAATACAGTTAGAAATTCTGGTTTAAAATTCCTGTTTTCCAAAAGCATTCAGGTCCAAATTTCCTTTTCCTTTGTCATAATGTAGACAATCACTCACCATAAAGATTTTATTTTCACTAGACAATTTTCTCTGACATAATTACCAGGTGCAGCCACACTGGTTGTTAGCAAGCCCCTGAAATCTCACCGTCATGAGCATTGCTCACAAAGTTCTGTATGCTCAGGGAGCATGTACCTACCCAGGCACCTGTGCAACCGAAATCATCTGGGCTAAAAGGTCTTGTGAATACTGTCCTCAAAGACCCTTGTGGGATTGCTCCATCTGGGAAGTGATTGATTAGCCACAAAACAAGGTAAGGAAGCAACAAAAATATATCGGAAACTTGCAGGAAAAGAGAGAAACGGTAACAACCAGGTATAGAGGTGTGCAGAGGGGATCTGATCATCCTAAGGTCCTAGGCACCATCAGGCTGTGCCAAAAAAGGGCACAGTCAGGAGTTACATAACCTCACATATTATACTGTCCATTGGAAAGCACCCTAATAGTTATTAAGAGCATTACATTGTATTATAACAGAGCAAGGAAGCAGCATACAAAATAACTACCCTGGAAATAAGATACTTCTCCTCTACAAAAAGAAGTGGCAGTAAGTATCACCGCCAGTCAAATTAGTAGGTGTGACTGCCTGCCAAGGGCAGGGCAGAAAGCCTTCCTTCTACACTAACTCTTCATTAAGTTGAGAAGACGACAAAGGAGTTTCTGTCAAGGAAGTAAAATGCAAATCTCCAAGCTATGTCACAGATTGTCGATACGTGGGTATGTCTGGAGTTACAAAGCGCCTCTGAGAAGAGATTTATGCTAACTCCACATAGCGTGTCTATGTCTACACAGCATGGGGAAGCGAGCTATGGTCCGGGACAGGACAGCCCTTCCCTTTCCACTTCTGGAACTGGTTCATCTGGAGACAAGTTAGGCACCTTTGCATGGTGCTGCATAACATGGTACAGAAAAACCTACTGTGATTTCCTCTGACAGTACCTGAAGCCTCCAAGGAATTTGACTGTTCTATGTATTCTGAATAAAATATGGCATGTAAATCAGACCGGACAAATCCTGCCCCACTGAATATAGTGGCACTATTGGAGTTGTTCTGGGCAGGTGGGGGAAACAGGAGAAACGGCTGGAGGAACCTGTGCATCAGATTTTACACCTGCATGGCAGAGAGATCCAGTTCTGCAGCCACCCCCACCCCCACACACACATCTGGAATAACGGGGTTCATGGGAAGGCTGGATGAGCCAATGGTAGAGTGGGGAATGTGCTGTGGTAGAGATCTCTTGGCTGCTGCTTTGTTCCATGGTAAGACAGGACCACAAGAGCAGAAGGCTTCAGCCTTGTAACCACACTGAAAGCTTAAATGGAGATCCTGCCTTGCCTGAAAGCATTCCTACTGAAAAAGGGTATCCCATGACCAGACCCTTAGGCATGATACAGGCTAGAAATAAAGTATAATAAATTTAGAACATATATAACACCTTGATGGGGTCATTAAAAACACATATTGCAGAACAGGACTGTGAGTCAGTATTTGATTGGATATCTTTCTCAGCTGCTAGAGCTGCCGGAACACTGTCACGTGTAGCAGACCAGCAGAAGTAGGATTTCTGATTACAGTGATTAAGCAAAACAACTGCAAAAGTCACTGATCTTCTCAAAACATATGCAAATCCAATTCCGGGGCCAGTCCCACAGTCCCAACTTGTTTAATTTGTAACCTGTGTAAGGATCAGTTATCGTGAAGATGTGAGAATGAGAGCAAAAGGCCAATCTTTTAGCTTAAATTGCACTATTATCACTCAGCTCCCACTCAGAGGGCAAAGAGTAATCTGCCATGGCAACTTCTGAAAAACAACAGATTGAGGTATGTCTGAACTGTGGACTTCTATAGAGCCTTGGTAGTTTTAAAATGTATGAGAATTACCAGGTCCCTTCACTATCTCACAGCAACACATCCATTTACTTAATAAACATTAACTTCATAGCACCTTAAACTTTATAGAAACCACTAATCCATTGAAAGAATCTCTCCTCGTTCCTCATTTCACCTCAACTGCTATCATTTCCTTCCCCTGCATTTCCCCACTCCCTTATTTTATAAATCCTATTCTATTATTCTCTTTTCTCCATATCCCTTTTGTTCTTTTCCTCCATCTCTATTACTGAGGACATGTTCACCAAAGGATGGTAATAAAAAGGGATAAAGATGAAGTTTAGGGACAAAAATTCCTGCTCCTTGAAAACCCAAGAGCACTCTTCCCTCTGAAACCATGAAGCTTTGCTCATTCTCCTTAGCATGAGGTGGGGCCAGAGGCTTGGAGTAGGATACTGTGTGCCCAGAACAATGCAAAAAGGTTCTGAGACTATATAGTGGAATAAGCAGTCACTATTGTTTCTCAGAGGATTAAAGCAGAAAAAGGGGTGCAAACTGACTGGTTGTGACCTTTTCTTCCATAAGTATCACAGACTCTGAGGACAACAGGATGTAATACAGTACAAGGTTCCCTCCGTTTTGACTTGTTTTAGAGGAAAGCTAAGTAGAAGTAAACCTTAAAAAACTGAAAAAGAAAAATAAAACACAACAAACACCTCGAAAAAGGCTTCCTTGAGGCAGTCAAGAAAGAAAAAAATTCTTAGGACTGTAGAACAGATCTGGATATACAATGTCTCTAGCTAGAAGAAAGAAAACCGCAAATCATATTTTTACCACCCTTAATTCAGTCAAGAACTCCAAATTAGAAACAACTGAGCCAAGTGGGTATAGCATAACATAAATGGGAGCTTCTTTTCTTTTGATCAATGTAGGATGGAAGAAACATTTGAAAAAGCTTAACTTACTGAGATCTTTGTGAAAATATACAGCAACAGAGAAAGGATTGACAGGTAAATCTGAATCCGTTTGCCACCAAAACGCTTCTTCAGATACTCTGGCATTGTCACCACCTGCAGAGGGAGAGGAGATAAGGATGCAGACAATGGGAAACAGACACAAAGCGAGTTAGAGGAAGTTCTTTGCTGCTCAGATACTCTAAGAGTGGAGGGCAAGGAGAGGGCAGCTGGAAGTGCATGTTGCAAGGAACAACAGCTCCAGGAGTCAAAGAAGAACCGGGAGAGAGCACTAAACACTCCCCAGCTCAGGTCTCAGAACCAAGAGCCCTCACTTTTCAAATATATATGGATACAATATCACACAGTTCCTAACATGCCCAGATCTCTTGTCCTTCATAATAGCTTTGCAATATTCAAGACCTGGTCCACAAACAAGAGGCGAGAGAAAGATTAAAACAGGCAGAACAGAAAATCATAACGTACAGGCAGAATAGAAAATCATAACATAGTGTTTCTACTCACCCCAGCTTTGATGTAGATGGGTACAAACAGCCACCCTAGGACAACCACAAATATCAGAGCCTGCAGCCAAGAAAACCATAGCTGAATTAGCCTCCTCTCTCCTGACAGCACACTCTGTGACCATTTCTCAGACCTGATAGGAGCTGGAGACTACCGAAACCATGCAAACCTGGCTATGGCAGGGGTGCCCTCCCTGCTCTGCCCTTCATTTTACAGATAAAAATCTGAGACTGAAATCCTGGCCAAAAGGTTTGTCAGGTATTACAGAGCCTGGATTTCATGCTAGGTGTCCCAGAGTAGCACACATGACCATACACTTTACAACAAAACTGCCGATTCCTCTACTATCAAGGCACAGCTCCACTAGCAACATCTGACTATCCTAGCCCTCCTCAGAGAAGGCTCAGGGAGCATGGTGGTTAAAATGAGATGAGCTCAGAAGACTGCTATTTCTGGGAAATATTAAGGAAGGTAAAGGCAGCTACCTGAGACCTATTTGTCAGCTCCTTGATCCCAGAGCCACCAGGGCAGGATGCGTTCTCTCTCCTGAGTCAGGTATGCTGCAATTATATGTTATGATCTCTGCTAACCTAGGTATTGGGGAGAGTGGAACTTCTTTTGATACCTCCTTAAATGTCTTCTGCAGTGGCCTTCTGTGAGATGTCCTGACATTTTACAAGACAGAGTATGTTACAACACCGTATCCTGTATAGAATGTACTACATGTATTTTGTAAAGTATTTTGGATTTACCACATTGCCATTTTGTAATGTATTTTGTATTACATTTTACATTACCATTTTGTAATGTATTTTGTATTACATGTATTTTGTGCACTATAGATCCTACTGTATGGCAATGTCATCATTTTCTGACTTAAAAGGGTAGCAAATGCTGTCTGATACAGAGTTGTACATATTTAAACAGACAAATACAAAACTAATTCTGTGTTTTAATTGTATCTTTTAAGTCCTGCCCCTAGACCAAAAACACAAGATGGACAAGAAATATTGGGTCAGCTTCTACGGTCATACTAATATAAATTAGAAATATCCCAGTGGAATAATACTGATACACAACCACCATAATAGTCACGCAATATTTCCTTGGAGAAGGAGAATCAGATTATAGACTCAAAAGCAATATTTCTGCCACATCTATTAACTTGTATATCAATTCCACTCTGCTGAAACTATTTAATGAACTATCGATGTAGGGTACCTGCTGAAATACATATATGCATCACTGCTTCTTCCTAAACAGCCTTTATTGTATACTGTGTACTGATATTGGTCCATGGAGAATCTTCCAGGAGATGCAGTGTTAGAGATGAGCATGTCTGGAGAAGGATCTGGGTCCTAGAGCTTTGAGTGTCATGAAGCTCCAAGTGATGTTTGTGGTGTTTTGTTTTGGTGCAAAGAGAAGGGGAATCAGGTCTGTTACTGCACTAGTGTAAGCAAATAATGAGAGATGACACATTAACTGTGCAGGTCTCTTAGAGTTTGCTTTTTGCCTTCATCCTTTTCCTTAAGTGGTTATAACATGAGTAGTTGAGTAGTTGACTATCTATCTGCAGCAACCATCTACTTGTCTAAGGGAAAAAGCCAGTCCCTCAGGAAGGTATGCTTCTTTCACTGCACAGAAGTAAATGCAAGGGAAGTATCAACCTACGTACACTCTTAAAATCCTTGCTGTCATGGCATAATCCCTTCCATGAAGGTAGGGTAAGCAGCACAAAGGCATTGCTACCCACACTCACAGAGGCTGAGAATACGAGGAAATGGACTGAATTAGCTCACACGAATTGTTGCACTGCTGCAGTTAAGACTGCTCCTGGTACCACAAGTAGCTCACTTAAAGCCAACTTGGATATCTCTACCCTATATTGGAACCATAAGCAGAACACACACACCCTAAGAATGAGGGGAAGGAGAAAGCATTTTTGCAATGCAGGTGGGCGTGAAGGAAGTGCCAAATTTCTTATAGCTGGTCAAAAAATCAAAGCTTCTTCAACAATTCCTGTGCAGCAAACTGCCATCAAAAATACTACGGATTACAAAACTGATGCATTCTTCCAAACATCCTGCAGTCTGAAAGTACTCTTTATAAGTACCTGCAAAGTAATCAGAAGACATGTACAGAGAAGAGAATCCACCAATTTCTTTGGTTTAAATGCTCTCTAAAAAACCTCACTCAGTAGAAATGGGTCATCTTCTCCCAGTGACAAGGAACAAGGAAGAAAATGAGCAAAATAACAGAGGACACTGTCAATTACAGGTCTGTACAGAAGTAAGCATTGCCAAGCACAGACTTTGACAGCCCTACATTTTTAGACAATGTTATCTTGACTGACCTCCGCAGATAATCCTGATGCCACAGTATGTTCATTCAAATGCATGCCACTTACATTCCACTCATATCCTCCGGTGGCAATTCCTCCAGCTGCTCCTGTTCCTGCTAGGCCCACAAAGTGTCCACTTCCAATGTTACTAGCAAACAGAGAAGCACCAATCTGGAAACAGAAGGGACAAGAGATTTAGGTTTTAGGTGTTTATTTGGCATTTTGGACTCTTGCCTATCTATCAGGAGATGATGATAAGAATGACTGATAACTATAATCTCCTTGACAACTTTCAAGATTCCCTCTTATTTTCCCCTCTCAAACGTGAAACTCCTGCCATCACCTCGACAACAGTGAGGAATGAATAGGACCTTGCATAGAAGATCTCCTTCCACTTGAAGCAAACAGGTTGTGGCCCCAGTGCAGATTTTCAGATATTTGGAAAACCTGACCAACCGGCCTTTGGGTGACATCCAAGTGATTAGAGGAGATGACTGATTGATCCACCTTGCTCATGGGATAAATGATCCATGCATACCCTTTTGTCATACTGGCACTCCCTGGTTTCTATTAAGATTCCACAGACAGTAGGACTAAGCATATCATCAGTAGGAGATGTACCAGCTTTGTCCTTGGTTCGCTTCTACTCAACAGATATTAAATTAACTGCATTAAATTCTGGAAGCTGAGAAGTGTGTTTGCACAAGATATAAACAACAGCTAATCAAGGACTTGCATTTAAGGAATGGTGGTATTTCTAAGACCCTCAAATCTTGCACTAATCCTGCACACAGAACAGCAGAACAGTGGGGAGAACAGAGAACATAGGAATTGCTGATCAGAGAAAGACCGAAATAAAAAGGTTAATGCTGGATTACAGGTGGGCAGGAGAGGTTCACAAAAGGGAGATTGTCCCCAAAAGATCTAATACTTCATCAAATAACCCAAGATAATGGGAAAAAATGAAGAGAAATGAAAGCATTAAAGGCAGCAGAAATGCCAAACGATATTCCACAAGGTCAGAAACTGAAGTATGCAGGGTGAGAACTTGAGTGAGGAAAAGAGGTTGGCTTGGATATTGTAGGTAGAAGATATGTGAGCTGAAGTGGTTCTGAGAAGAAGACAAGTGAGCAAACTGCTCTTTTTATTTGCTTCTATTCATTCTCTATGTCCTCTGAGAGCTACAAAGAACAAAAGGAAATTGAGTTAAAAAGAAAAGAAAAACATACAGAATGTATGAAAAGAAAAGAAAAGCTGTAAAAAAAAACATACAGGTGAAAGAAGCTCTACTGATCAGCTTATAATACTTTTGTTTAATGTAGACACCTCATGTTGAAAGAGCCCAAAGAGCCTTAAAAAGCTTAATTAGCAGTATAAAGCCAGTACCCGCATCGGGCACACTCTCCTTACACAGTCACTAAGGGCAGGCAGCTGGGAAATATTTACAGTTGCCTTACAAAAGGGAGAAGTATCCCTTGTCTGCAATCACTAGGAGATGTTTAGGGTCCTGAAATGTATACAAAGGGAATAGTTACAAATTTCCAGGTCTGCAATCACTGCACTGAGTTCTTTGGTGGAGAAGTAAAAACAAAGGCAGTCTTTCTGGGAGTGCAGGGATGCTTGTCTGAGATTCAGGAGAAGAGGCATTTCATCACAGAAATCCACCTCTGAAGATCAGATTTATTCCACAGCCAGGAACAGCACCTATGCTCCCCAGCTCACAAACCTGAGCTCTGCTGACAAGATAGAGTTTCCTCTCCACTTTTGTATGCAAGCTATACTGTACAAAAAAAGCTCGGCAGAGGATTCTATGGTTTCTTTTCCAAGCTTACTTTTTCCTCCTTTCCTCAGTCTCATCTCCTGATTTCTTCCAGTCTTTGTGAGGACAAACAGATCTCTTGCTGTGTCAGGGAATTTCCCTCTCTGAGTTCACTCAGTTCTGGATTTCTTCAAGCATTTCTAGAAGTCAGTTGTGCCCTACAGAAATGTAACCTGTTTGTCATTATCACAGATGTTTCTACAGGAATGATAAGTGTTGCAACAGTGGTGAATAAGCCAGAAAGATCACTGGTACAAATGAATACTTTTGCTTCTGACCTCTTTGTGACATCAGCCATGTTTTCCCCATAATGACTGTGAAGAACAAAGACCATTAATACTGGGCATCAGCAATGTCCTGCAGTGTTTTCCCTGGAGATGAATAATTAAACTTAAAAATCTAGTCTAATCTAATCTAAGTTATTAGAAATGCAATCACCAGAAAAGATTAACCATACTAATCTTTGATTTTATCTAATGTGTTCCCTCCCCTGCTTCAAAAGTTTAAAACGTACTGTAAGTAGATTCGAGTAATAAAAGCAGCTAATGACGAACTCGGAGAGCTGATCACTGCAGTAAGCACAGGCTCACTGCCTGAAAACACCCGGACACACCGTAGCATTCTCCAACACTACTGTGTTCCCAGCCTCACCCAAAGCACATCTGTATTTTAAGAAAAATACAAAACCAGACCAAACCAATGCAAAATCACCAAGATGTCTGGGGCTAGCACAAGGACAAAAAAACACGAACGCACTATCTATCCCCTTCAGTTTCTAAATTTTCTTTTCTGAATTAGGGAAGACCCCGTGCAGTCAAACTGTAAGCACAACACATAGCAATAATGGATGCAATTTAAAAAAATGTTTTCTATTGCTCTGTATACATAGAAGAGTAGAACTCAGCTTCAGAACTGGACAAATATATATCACTCTGAAAACTGCAGCACAGTTAAAGCAAGAGGAGTGTTTACCCATTATACTTGTGCCCTTTCAGCTGCTGATGCCACAGGGGGAAGAAAGGATGCCAGCCTGCCCTGGCAGCTTAAAGGAAGGGGGAAGGAAACAGATGTGCTGTGGGCCCAAAATGCCTTGCTGAAGAACTGACCGTTGCAGTATTTTTACAACGAAAAAGTCGATTACTGAAACTGCCTAATTTGCCGTTAGAAGGTGCTGCCATGCACCAACGCATGACCTGAAGAATGCGGTTTCTCAAAAGGTCACAGATAAACATTAACACTGCTCCCTCACCACCGGGCCAGCGTTAAGGGCCCCAGCGTTCCCAGCAGCAGCAATTAGTTCTCTGCGATCTGGGTGACAGACGCGGCAAGCCGCGTAGGAGCCGGAAGGATGGGCTCTTCGCCTTTGCCGGGGTGAAGGCAGAGCGTGCGTGGGAGGCGCCGTGGCAGCCTGGGTGTATGTGCTGGCCTGCTGCTTTCCCCGGGGACTGCAGCCACAGGGCAGGTCCCCAGGTGAGCTCTTCCAGGTGTGCGGCCGCATGTCAGAGAGGACAGGCTGAAACTAGGAGATGGCAGAGGGAAACTACTTTTAAGAATTGTTAACTGCTCTCAGCAAAGAGGTCAAGTGACTTGATTTTACAAAGCAGGTCTAGGAGGAAATAAGATGACCGAAAGGAACAAAATCTGACAAGAGGGCAAAAAGCTGAAACAGCCTGAGGCAAACGTGGAACATTAACTCCTTTAAAATCCTTTAAGAGGTCAGGTTTTAACAGGCCTTCTCTGTTCAGGAAAGTACCATCATACTGCAGACAGATGACAATCACTGTGTTTTCTCCATGTTATTCATTAATCGATTCACCTTGCTCTTTTCATGAACTTGGGATGCACAGACATCCTGGCACTCGCTGCTCCAAATTGTATACAATGTACTTCATAAATCAGTGGTCACTGCAGCAACGGTTTGCAGGCTGTACAGCTTGTGCTTTTCCGTGGCTTTATACCTTCCTGTGTCAGAGAGGCGTCCGCATTTAGCCCCTCTACCGCGAGCAGCATAGAGGCTCCCTCGCAGCGGTGTGCCATCCCTAGCCTTGCCCTGTGGCATCTCTTCTCCTACACATCACCTGCAGCAGCTGCTTCTCGTGCCACTCCTCCCTGGACAAATTTCGCATTCCCCTCTTTGAGGACTACTCCTTTACAGTGTTCATGCTGTTCTTTAACTCGCATCTGTTCCTGTAACATGTGGCTTTACCTGGATTGAAGGATATCATTTTTCCTGTCTGAGTCTTTTGGGATGCCCCTTGGCCACTTTGGAAAAATCAGTGCACTGCTTAGTACCTCTGTGAAATCTTACTGCCTCTCTTCCGAGGCTCTGAGACCCAAAGAAAGAAGTGTAGGTTTTTATTCTGCTCTCCTAATTATTCTGCAAGTCCCATATGTTGCATCATTGCCCAGTTAAACAACATTCATACACTTCCTACTTCGCTAAGCGAAAGAGATGGCTATATGGTATATATCAAGTAACATGTGTCTCTGCCCTCTGACATGCCTGACAGCTGTTAGAACAACGCCGCTGCCGGCAGGCTGGCCCGGTACCTTGGGCACCTTCATCTCCTGAGACACAGGCCACATTTCCAGGCTCACTGGAAAATCTTGAAGCATTCTGTAGGTATCTGTTCCACTGAACTTTTCCTTTTCTGCTGCAGCTTCATTTGGATTATTTTATCAGTATTTTTACTCCGAAAACTACTGGTTTGACACTATTGTTGCATAGGACATGACAAAACAGGTTAATTTCTTAGCCCACTTCACCTTTGGAAAAGTACAGTTCTTACTCGTACCTGAGTTGCCTTTACTGGATACTCCCAGTCCCATCAAATTCAGCAACTGAGGGCAACACAGCATGTGTAAAACTGAGCTGGACAGAGACATCAGAGAAATTGTGCCAGAAGTCAGTTCGGATAGTTGTGAAAACATGACCCTGCAGAACTAAAGTAAAAACCTGTTTTTTTCCTTAATTCTTGCCTTCCTCACAAAGGTGAATGCCTCAGTGACAACAAATGGCTGAGTTACATTCCCATTTAAAGTGAAATATGCACTTGACTCTACATACTATTCAGTAAATCCTTCTAGCTACAGCTGAACTTCAGATGCCCAACAGATACTTTTGTGCTCCACTAGCAATTATGCCTGGAGAGCAGTAAAAAGAGTAACTATCAAGAGTTTGTGCAGACTGTTATGTCTGCCCAGCTACAGAACCTGCAGAACAAAATTCCAAAGCAGAAAAGCTTCAAAACTGAAGTTTTTAATATTGTGCATGAAGCCTTGTTAATCCTAAGAGACTGGCTACTATTGAAGGTGACCGTCTTCCAGTAACAGATATTTCATTTCATAGAAGAGTAGAAAGTATTTGGCTGAAGTTATAAAGCTGGCACTGCTCCTGAACTTCTCTGGTTTTTCACAAAAAGCACAGTTGGTCTTGAGTATTTAGAGAATCATACATGTCTTTCCTGAAGACATTTCCCTCAAAGCCCAAGAGACTGAAAACAGTTTCTTGAAGACTCTTTCCTCAATTTTTGTAAAAAGCCCGTGGAAAGGACGCAGAATTTCCCACCATTAAGATTAACCCATGATGGATTTAAAGTTCTGATAATCAGTGAGAATGTAATTATATACCTTGATCTTTAATTAACTATTAGAGCTACTGAGTCAACTCATCCATTGCACAACAGCGGTGATTCCAGTGAAGTAAGACAGAAATGGCCCAGTCCTTCAGCAGAACAGCCAAAGACTTGCAGTGCACTAGATTCTGCAAAATACTGAGCAACCTTCACGGCCGCTGCTGGAGCCAAACATCTGAGCCAAAGCTGGACAGATTCAGATCAACATAACCATCTTGCTCCTACTTTATACAAGGAGAAATTGAAGCACAGTCAGGCAAAGTGACTGACAAACATCTTCACAGGCAAAATCAACATCAAAAGCAGGATTAACCTTCAGTCCTTGACTGCCAGTCTCCTCCAGTCTACTAAACCACAGCTATTATATCGTTTAAGTGAACAGAATCCCTTCCCAGGTTTGTCAGCTAGAGATCCTAAATACATCGCTAACAAGCTTCTTTTCATTTGGGATCAGCAAAGCCACCTGTGGCTGCTTTGTAGCGCACAGAACATGGCACAACCACTGAAAAATACAATTACTATAAGTCAATTCAGTTTCTAACAAGTTTGTGGAACTCTTTTTTCCTTTCTCTGTGTTCCAGAAAGCAACCAATTAAATGGTTAAGAGTTGTTACCCTGAAATCACAAGGAAGAAACCTGATACATAAGAATCCACTTACAAAACAACTTCTCCCACCCTGTCTCTCATCTACAGACTGTGGAAATACCTCCAGGTTTTCCAGGACTACTTCAGGTTACAGTCCCACTTGGCCAAGTCAAAGCACAAAAGATGTAAAAACATACACTTAACATCAGCTGTGGCAGAACTGAGATGACATCTTTGACTGAACTTTCTATACTTTCTTTGGCTTCCTAGTCATTTCAGCCCATTCTACCCACTAAACTGTGGGAATAGGTTTATGAAATCTCTTTTTATCCCAGGCAAACTCTGACTTGGTATTTACCTTGTGATTTAAATGATTGCCATTTGTTTATCTTAGGCAATACCAGGAACAACAACAAGAAGGTTTTATTTTTATGGTCCAGGAAAGACACTCCCAGCGCTCCAAAGGGGAGGAGTGAGGGGGTGCTCATAGGGCGGCACGACTGACCAACCCTTCATCCCTGCTGAGCTCCTACAGTTGGGGCAGGGGGTGGAGATCATCCTAGAGGCAACTGCTGCCCCGTAGCTCATCCCTTCTGTCCTCTCACGGGAGGAGGGGGGCTCGCTGCAGTTGTTTTCGTGTTAGAGAACACTCCCTGGGTCTTTGGGGAACCGTTAGGGATTCTCTGTGCCACTGCTGTAAGACAGAAGGATTTTTATGGTGAGCCTTCCCTGCCTTGCCCCCTTCATCTTCATGTACACCTACACAAAGGAGTAGCAATTCATATTCAGCCTTGACAGGCCTGTAGAATCACACAAGTTTAAAAGCAGCCCATTGATTACACTGACAGTCAAGCGAAATAATTTGTTTTTTATTCTAGAATTAGGGAATTTGCCTTAAAATACTTTGGAAATTTCTTTCCTCAAGCTTTCTATGGAATCTGAATTTTCTTAGAGTTGCTCTAACAAATGAGGACACCTTCCACCGCCTTTAGCCTTTTAATCTTTTTATGCCATTAAAATGGCAGCTCTGATCCCTTCTAAAGGCAGACAGCAGCTCCTCGACGTACAAGAAAACTGAAAGAGGTGTAGGCGTTTCTGCAACCTACTCTGATAGAATTCGTGAATTTTTAGAGAAAAATATTTACTCAATTCTTTTTCTCTCTCCTCTGATCCTGTAACTGAATCCATGTGGGTGGAACTTTCAATCAAAATCGTGCTGAAGTGCACGAACATTTTGGGGAACTGACTGCAAGGTCAGGAATATTCAGGATTTCCATCCAAGCACATGGAAAAATGGCTTTAAAAGTGCCACACTGGTGACATAGAAAATGAAGATTTGTCTAAGTTTTCTGTTTTTCCAGGAAGTCACACTGAACAGACTCTCTATGGTCTAGAAGAAATAGATGAATGTTTCTAATAGCAGTTCTGCCAGAGGCCTTCTGGATGGCTGTGAACATGTTGTTCCCTGTCTGTGACTCAGTTTCTCCCTCTCTGAAGAGACTACAGCTCCACAGAAGACAAACTCAATGTAAGTCATAGATAATCTTTAAATTTAATATTTACATTTAAATTTATATTTTACCAATAACTTATCATAACCTTTCCAGGATTTCATCCTTGTACAGACTGAAACTTGTTGCCAAAAGTGACAGCAAAAAAGCAAAACCAGGAATAACTTCAGCAAAAGAATTCTTCCCCGTGATAATCTCACAATGAGCCAGCTACTTTGAGTGCAGTGAAAGTAATAAATTCAAGACATTAAAAAGTTTTTAAGTGGGCTGAATGGCAAAGCACTGGATTTCTCTACACCACCATCACCAATGCATCGAGGCATGCAATCAAAGTTAGCCATGCAATCAAAGCAACTCAGGGCTCAGCAGAGACAACTTCCCCGACACTTTTCCCTACTTATCAGATGGCTTTTCTCATGCAGTTAGTACTACATCACTGTGCCTAGAGAGAAAGTTTAAAGTTGGGCAGGGTGCCTCTACACTGCATGGTCATCACAGTCTTGACAGTGCTGTGGAGATTCTTAAGGACTAGGCATGTTTATATGCAAGTGGCTGCACATACACATGCATATGTCTATTTTATATAGACACAGAAAGGATAACACTCACTGGCCACCACACCATGCTCCGTCCAGCCAGGAAGAATCCACCTACTGTCCCTCGGTTGGTTGAGTACATAGCCTGTAAAGAAAAAGAAAGAATGATTGAATCATATTTTCAAGTCTAATAGGCAAGTTATACAAAGACTAACGATCAACAGCTAGGGTGGAGGAGTAAAATATGTGCGTGTGTTGTGGGGGTAAACTGGAAGACATCCTCACAATTGATATGAAGAACCAGCTGATGATGAAAAAAAGAATACTATTGAACAGTGATTCTTGTATCCATCTCTGTGTTAACCATTCAAGCGTCATGGCTTCAGCTTTCATTGCCATAAAACCAAAACATTAAAATAAAATTAAATGAAACATAAAAAATTGATCATCCAACCAAAAGTTTAGTGAATAAATTCAAACTGAGGTAAATACTACATCAGGTGAGCAATCACTTCGGTTTCAGGCCCACAAAAGACTGATTTGTAAGCTGCAAGTTCATGCAAGAGAAAAAATATGTGTATGCAGCTTTTTTTTATTCAATATTATCCAGCCCCAGCAGGCTTCTTCTTCTTGTGGTATCAGTAATGCACTCACTTTTCTCGGAAGTTCAAACAAAGAAGCCAACAAAAATTCCCTGTTCACATACTCATTTTGTATTTGTTGGGGATGAGCATTAGAGAGAAGCTTCCTCCAATTTTTGTTCATGACCCTGATCCAAATGCTGGATTCCCATTGTCTCCTCTGATAGGCTTTGAACAGGCAAATAAAGGGGGAAGACTTTTTGACAGATTTTTTCATTTAGATATAGAAGAAGGGAAGTAAATAAAATAGATTTATATTTCACTACACACAACAACTGAATAAGTATTTCTCCCATAAAAGAGGATAGAAGCAGTTCCAGGAACTGCTAAGAACACCTTTGTCTGACACATCACCAACCAGCCCTTTTCTGACACAGAAGTTTAGCACAAAGCTCAAACGCAAACAGTAGCCAGATTTCTGTGGACAAAGACCCAGTTCCCTCCCACAGGCTACCAACATCTTCCAGCATCCTGAAACTCCAGATTTTTTGCTATGCTTTTGGCACAAACTACCATGGCTGTGGCCATTTTGCATCCCCAAAGTGCTGAACAAGCACATGCACCCAAAAAGTGTGGTGCTTCTCAAAACACTGCCAGGCTGCTAGAAAGGGAAGTTTGTTTTTCAGTTGACTTCTCCATGCTGTGAGAAGGACTCATAGGTTGCTTTTGGAAAGCATAGGATGTCTCCTCTGTGTTTCTCTCAGCTTGTCAATGGTCAGGTGCATCACCAGATGGCCAGGAGAGCTTGCCCCCAGGAGAATGGGTGTTCCTCAGAAAGAACAGCAGCTTCTAAATCTAGTGACAATCCACTCTTTGCACCTTTATAAATCACAGTATTGGCCTATTATCTTCAAACATTTCAGCACTGCAGTTACGCCAATAGGATAGTATCTGCACTGTGCTTTGTTTCAGGATTAGGTGCTGAGTTTTCCCTTGCGGCACTCTGCATATTCTGCCTTCTCTGGATGGGGACAGGAGGCACTGTTGTGCTTAGCTTACAAACAGAAAAGTATTACCATCACTTGCCACCCTTGAAACTGTTCCTTCCTTGCAGTTTCCATGGCACCACTCCCTGCAGTAAGGGCCATGCTGGCAAAAAAGCCATCATAATCCTGCACTCAAACGGCACCTACAATCTTGACCCATTTTACTCCTCCACTGAGAGTGGTCTAGAGTCCCCCAGTTCACCATGCAGTCACCGTCCAAGCCTTACAGTTACACCAGGGTCATCAGCACAGACTGCCCTCCCCACTCCTTAACTCCACCTCTGTTCTTCTCCCTGCAGCTCCCTCTGCTCATCGTTTCCTACTGCTTCACCTCACATCACCAATTCCCACTGCAATCCCCTGTTCTCCATTGCCAAACTCCATCTATGTGCTTCTAGCCTGCTTTCCACAGGGGCTCTGGAGGGCCTGGTCTTCATCCATCAGCTCTCCTTCCCACGCAGAGCCCGATCACTCCTCCACCTTCCTCACTAGCTCCATTCACCCACCTGAATGGGGACCTCCCCAAGCCACTCTCCCTCTTCCGGTAAATACCCACATTTTCGGCACCAGCTACCTGTTAACTATCTCAGTTAAGCACCAAGCTCTTTATACAATTACATATTTTAATTTACTGAGCTATTTTCCCAGAATCCTATAAACCACATGCTCATTAAGCAGAAATAAAAAAATAAAATAAAATCCAAACCTACCCATAGTCCCACTGCCAGGACTACCAGAAAATAGATGACAATAACAGAGATGTCCGCAGGATTGTTGATCTTTTGGGAGGAGTCCATCTTGGCTGCTTCTCTGGCTTTCTTCTTTCTCTCCTTATATGCCTCTTGCAGAGTTCAGGTTAATGATAAACTGCTGTCATCCCCCTACGTCTTATATAATATATAACTTCAGATTCACTTGTCTCCCATGGTACACGAGCTGAAGCTGCTGCTTTTCCTCGGACAATGATTCCCTCCCAAATATTGCTCCCCTGTTACAGGTGCTGCAGATTTCAGAGGTCACTCTCCCTGCCAGAGGTGCTCAGGGTTTTAACATCTGAGAGCAGATGTCTGAGAAGGAATGAGCACGGAAAGGAGTGGCTTGGCTGCAATAAACCCGCATATCTACCTCACTGTGTGAATACTGTTTTGAAGTGGTTGTACCTGTAAATCTAGTAACGGAAGATATAATTCTTTTAGATGATAATGTTAAGCAATTAACAGTGAGGAGGAACAACCTGACACTTGGGGAAAACCCAGGGGTCCAGAAGCTGGGGCACACAGTGTCATCCCTTGACTCAGCAGGATTGCACAATGGAGAAGTAGCCCTATGTTCCTGGGAAGAACAACTCAAAGCTGCTTTCATCTCTTTCATGGACACAGGTAAAGATGCATGTGAACCATAAAATTCAGATCCAGGAGTTTACTGTGCTGAATTTCAGAGTGTTTAGAGACTGTGGTTCTCTCTCTTGAGGCTAATCAGCTTCACATTCAAATAAGTTCAAAGTTCAGCAGTGCTTGGGTCTGTTGTTGTCTCCCTTTATTTGTTCCTCTGACTTCAAAATCAAGCTAAGCGAAATGACCAGCCACAAAGATACCGAATACACTGATTATACACAGACCTTCCCAGCCCATAACAGGGAAGCTTCCCCAAAAGATGCCTATGATTCTCCCTGTTTGACTGAGCTAGAAGAGATCAGAAAAATGCAGGATATTTAGAACAAGAGGTACAGGTGCCAGGAACATTTCTGGGCTCTGAGGATACTTGAAAGTCCTATTCTCTGCTTGATACCAGGAACTCATCATCCATTTACAGGTGACAAGGCTGCCTTCTCTAGGTGTAATGTGTTACCTTGAAGTTACACCGAGCGGGACAAGCAGTACAGTACACAGAAGGCACAATAGGTTTGATGGATCCTGTGGTTGGCATACATGACTGACTGTGTTTCCTCAGAAGCTCAAATGGAGGTGTGGCATTCTGTTCAATGGTAATACATCTCTCCAAGGTAAAAATACTGTTCTGTAATTGTGGCTAATAAAGCGTGCCAATATCTAAGAAACCATAGTAAAGTGTCATTACCTATAAGAGTAAAATAAAAATCTCACTATAGTTTGAGCACCTGAACTCTTATAAAACAATCCTTTCCTCTGACAGTTTAGGCCTCTTTCCTGAAACATAGCCTTCAGTTTGTCCTATAGGTCTGTGAATGTCAACTGTAAACCCAAATTAACCCTGAAAGGTGCTGAGCATCCACAGTTCCCATTAGCTGCAACCTCTGCAACCTTCCCTGCTGTGTAAAACTTCAGGGAAACAGAACAAGACTTATTTACTAACCTTAATTATCAGGAAGGAGTTTGCCTAAGATAGGCTGTAGCTGGCCATTCTTACAAAGACTGACATAGCTTCGTATGTGTGCTTGCAAACAACAAAATGTTTGGTTTTCAGGAATTCCATTTTGGTTTCAATCTTCAGAGGTAAACCAAAGAAAACACTAGACAGGAGCAGATCTACTGTGAAGTATCTCTGTTTTCATCCAGACCTCTGCAAAAAGAGCTTACAGAGGCAAAGAAACACAACAGCCTTCTGTCCACAGCCCCTAGTGTGGCCATACCTAAAAGACTTTAAAGTATGAAATATTAGCTGAGAATCAGGGTCTAAAAAAAATAATCGTGCTATTCCCATCTTTATGTACAGTGCAAGCATCGACTTAATTCTGTTTTCTTTCTGAAAGCCACAAATCTAAATCAAACATTCTTTACGGAGTGCCAAAAAAGGGGTGGCAGCTTTGTTGAGGTTGTTAACACGTTTAGTCTCCACATGCTCATATCCGCAGTCCAAAGAGAATCCTAGATGCGTCGTACTCAGCAGATTGTTGGTGTACTAAATGAATCACTTCATGGACTGAGCACATAAAAATAGTCTTCTCTGAACGGTCAGCCAAGTTTCCGGATTCAAAAAAGGCTGAACCTACCTTTGTATTGTATTAAAGCACAGACAAGTATGAGGAAACCTTCTGATATGAAACATGAACTTCACCTCAGGAGACAAGGATAATCCAAGCAATTAGATGCATTACCTCTCCTGAAAACAACCATCTTTCATAACTAATACTGTTTCTGTCCAGTGCTATGCTAGCCACAACTGTTACGCTTGCATGTTGCTGAGGAAAAACTGCAACACAAAGGCATTGCAACAGGTGACCACTCTCTGATCATAATGTCAGACTCCCTCTTCCCACCTAAGTCTTCCTCCTGAAGATGGAAAATGATAAGTAAATAGTATATAGATAGAGTATATAGATAGATAGACAGACAGATAGACAGACAAAAGGACGTATTAGTATGCCAACTACATCCCAGAGAGGAACTCCTCTAACTCTCTCCCTGACATTCCTGCGAGCGGACTTAATTTTGGGACACTCATCAAAAGTGCTGCCTTACACACAGTAACTCTTGTACAACTTAAAAAGGATAAAAGAGATAAAAACTTGCAGTTATTTTACTTGCAGAAGGCCCTATATTGGATTAGTGAACTCTTTTCTCCTTTGCTGGTTTCTTGGCCAGATACTGTTGAACATAGTGCATCACGGTGATCATATTTGCAAGTGGACAAGATAGAAATTCAAAGACTTGCAGCAAAGATTTCCTAAAGTGCTCCTAATAACACAGCATGGCAGTTAGAGTAGGCAAGAGGAAGATTTTTTAACACATGTTCTTTGACGGCACAAGATCTTTTCCTCTTCATGCAATCTTGCTTAAAGTGGGCAAAACTTGGACCTGACTAACTAGAATTAGTTGCAGGATGACAAAAAATGATGGAAGCTGAAAAGTGGAAGGGACAAAGAAGGGACTACAAAAAGGAAAAAAGGTCCAAATGTCAGTAGGTATAATGAAGAGAGAAGGAAAAAATCAGTAGGAAAATAGTCCCATTCCCAAAAGGATACCAGAAAGAAGGCAAGGTCATTCTATTCCTATTCACTTAGACGATCAGATCAAGAAACATGAAAAACTATTTATCTAGACAAACAAAAAAAATAAAATGAACACTGCATTTCTAGACTAATTTTCTAATGAGGACCTCTACTGAGAAGACATATCAGAGGATATAAAAATAAAGTAGTTTATATGCAGATAGCCCAAAGATTTGAAGCAAAGAGAGATTTTCAGTTCTTCAGCAAGTGACTTAATTATCTCTGTATGAAGACTAAATATGCCCAGCCCTGTTGTGTCTGAGCGTTGCCAAGGTTATAAAAACAACAAGGACTGTGTTACTCCTATAACACAGGCTAAGAGAGCAAACAAGGTAACTTGATTGCATTTTTGTTTTATTAATGCTTTATTCATTCTTATAATTCAGGAGATTAATGAGGGAAGATTAATGGCAAGAGATGGGTTTCAAATTTCCATCAGGACTAATTAAATTGAATAAAAACCTTAACAGATTAAAAAAATCTTCTCAAATCAATCTAGACTGTCACCCGATTTAGCTATCTGACAGCTGGGCAGATTGTTCCCCATGAGCATCTTCTTAATTCAGTAGCAACCTAATTAAAACAGAAGTGTGAACATTATTTCATAAACCATATCATACAACGTATTTATTATCCCCATGCTCTAATCCAGTACATTTGTAATGTTAAAAGCTTGTTCATCCTTTTTGGGAGCTCCTTACCTTTCCCCAAAAATACTGTTTCCAAAAAAATATTTTTCAGAGACAGATATATGCTGATTTGTCACTTCTGCTATCACTAACATTAAGTAATGGAACAAATTATCCAGAGCAGCTGCAAAATCATCACCACAACATTCACAAATATATTCGCCACTCTCATTTTAGGGATGCTTTAGGGATGAAAATATTTCCACTCCATAAAATACAGGAAAGAAATGAACAGGAAATGAGCTGTTAAGACCTTCTGCATTGAAATCATTCTCCAATTGTCCAGGTGACCTAATGAAAAACCTAGTTGTTCATACCTCATTTGGTTTGAAATAAATGTAATCATTCTAAAACAATGGATAGCTTCAGGTCTTGTGGAGCTGTTTTAACTGCCCTGCAGTGATAAGCCACAGCAAATATATTATTATTATTTATTATATTTGATGGGTTAATTTGCTTAAAGAGATCTAACTGGAAGAGGGAAAAGATCATAATCTACTCATGTAGGAGCCTAATATACACATCCAATTTGCTCTACAGGGTCCCTGGTGCTACAGTGTTTGGTCTGTAAGTTAAATGAGGAAAAAGTCTGAATAACACTGTCATCTTCCAATTGTACAAAATACAATACGGAGCTCCTGGAAAACCCATAAGAACAGAAAATATTGTTGGAGAGAGTCCAGAGGAAACTTTTTTTTTCTTTTTTTTTAAAGGAACATGGGCTGAAATAAATAGTATTCACATTTAGTACAAACCAATTGATTGCTCCAATAGCAAAAAAGTATCAGAATATCAGAAACAGTGATTGGTGAGACTTGGAGGGGGGGGGGGGGGTCCCTGGTCAGCATAAAAACAGAACTGCCTGAAATCACTTTTCTATTACTGGAAAAAAATTTTAAAGAGCCTCCACAAACTAAAAGATCATATACAAAGTATAGATTACAGTTGAGAAAAAGAGAAATGGAAATAATGAGAACAGAGAAATCTTTGGTACTGAGTAGAAAAAAAATTATTAATGTTACCTGAGAACAAAAAACGTTGGTAAGTAACTAGATACATTGTGCAGATGTGCCTTTTGGTCAGACTTCAGCTTCTGGGAGAATCTAGAACAGCACAAAGAACACAAGTGTTACTTTGGCATGAAATGGAGATCCCTTCTAAAGTGCGATCTTTATGATCTGTCATCTTAAATCTCAAGAAGAAAAAAAGTACATGTTGTTCTATAGTTTCAATCTCCTTTATCAACTTAATGCTAAATAGTGAAAGTATTAAAAAATTATTACTTCTGACGTTAAGACAGTAGTCTGCATCTATTTCCAGGAGAAACACTA